AAGCCCCAAATCTGCTTATCTTGAATTGTAATGGAGATACATATAAGAGGCAGTGGATTTGATCCAGTTAGAATAAACATCAACAAACCAAACACGATTCTAGCTACGCAACAATTACGTCGTATAATAATAGCGTGCTTGTCAGTCTGAGAAAGTAGTGGTTTAACTGGTGCGAAGTATAAAGGTTCAGCATACTCCACTCGATAGGAAAAAGATTCGCACCGCTGAGAATAACCATGGGCATGATCTAATAAATTTGACTGGCTATGACAATTTAAAACGCGCACCCGCTCACGGCTTTTCAGGTCAAATCCAGCAGCGCCGCATTTCGGACTGGCAGAATATAAAATCTTTTTCAAAGCAAGAAATATAATCTATTTGGTTAGTACCTTAGTATCTTGAATATTTCAGTGATGGCTCGTGACTTTATTCTAGTGAATATTTTTCTCCTTCAGCCATATTTCTTTATATTGCCTGTGCGCGCACGTAACTTCGCTCAGAGATCTCACCTCCTTTCTTGGATAAGCATAACCTTGCTTTGAGCAAAATTTCACAAAAAAACTTATTGCATTGCAAATTTTTATAAAAAGCACGAAGGAATATTGACCCAAAACCCATAACGATAGTTTGTATAGTGTGTTAAAAACATAAACGATACCCGTAACCTAGTTAAAAAATCACATCCTTTGCTTCTGAGTGAATGCGCATGACCTTCTTTCGAGAAAAAAAACATGATGCCTTGCGACAAACCCACAATGGAAAGTTAAATGGCGGTTTGATTTTAGGAACTAACAATTCTTCAGAATGTAAATTTTTTGTATCACATATTCGGAAATAACACCAAAGACTTGTGTAGTTTACGGTGTTTTTTGATCAATTATGTAAGGGTCAGTTGTTTATGGTCGTATTGCAGGTCGAGGATGTGTCATCGCTTCATGACTCGTCTATTAGCGTGTTATGGTGAATCTTTTGAACTTTGACAACTCATTTAACGGTTTTAACCTCCATAAAAGGGCGTTCCAGAAGTATGTGTACCAATATAGAGGTAACTAATTTTGTCCGCCTACTTTACATCAAGTTGTATAAATGGACTGGAACCTATGGGCAGGGAGTATATTTACTTGGCTATCACAGGCAATTCATTTTTGAAATGGGCTAGAAGTTTTATTGTAATCTACAATATATGGCTGAAAATAAACCGGGGTTTGAAATTTCAACTTGACAATCTGTTTTGTCGAACTTATAGCGAGCTCGCACCAAACCAAACCCTGCGAACCCCCTATCACCACCACTGTCCTTGTACACAAATAAGTTCAGATATCTCCTCAAAGAAAATCCCGTTTGTTTATTAAAGTAAAGTCTTAAAAATCACGGGAAGTAAGGTTACGCTAACGGTGTACTAAGAGGTACACACAAAAGTAATTATCTGTTAACAGTTGAACTTATAGCTTAAATTGTGCAAAATGTAAATACTCGGTTACTAGACTTCGAAGCACTGACTCCAGAAAAAAAGAGTTACTGAAATGCGCAAATGCAAAGTAAAATGTGAAGGATAAGTGTCCGAGTTAACCTACCTGAATTGGAACAGAAACAACGTTCTGCAAACTCCTGTACACAAAACAAAGATATTTGGTCTCCGCTGGGAATTATCCAAGGACCTCGATGACGGCCTACTTTCACACTGGTTAATTATTTAAAGAACTAAATTTAACATAACTGGAGCTAACTCAAAACAAATTATTGCTTTCAAACATAATTTATTTTTTGCCGGTGTAATATGATGTTGAACCTGAATTCTTTAGGAAAACGGGAAAGAGATATTTAATTTAAATATTCGTTATACTTTAAATTTGCCATTTGAGATCGAAATGAGTTTTTCAGCCGAAACTTAGGACTACCAGTAGTAATTTATTACAAAAAAGTTTTGCGAGAATATTGCGTGGAACATTTACTTATATTTTAGTATATATATATAGTGATATCCGATCTTATCGGAAGAAGACCGTAATTTTTTAAAAGTAATAGCTAGGAGTGTGCTAAGTGTGCTTTAAATTCTTTTTCATACCTTCGTTATGTACGTATACGATATCATAAAAACACATTTCACGAGAATGCGAGCTTTCAAACAACAGAAAAAAAATTCTAGAACTATTATTTCATTCCTATATATAAGCGATGTGAATCGATAATCCTTTACCGTAAAAGCATAATTAGTAATACCTAATCCTCAGAACGGCGGAAACTTCAACTCACATATCAAAAAAAAACTTATAAAATTCACAATAACAAATTCATGTTTTCCTATTTTCAACTAGTTTTTAGCCCTCAAACCGTATATATTCCAAATTTTCCTACCTCTTATTGCTACATATAAAAATAGTAGTTCGACAACACGATGTCAACATTTGACTTGGACTTCAATCTCGTTTACCACAGAGAGATTTATTTTTTCGTCAACCAAAATATTACAATAGTCATTGTAATAATAAAAATTATTAACAAGTAATAGATTAGTTTGGTATAGAGACAGGAGGGGGTGATAAGAGTAGGGCTATGTTTAAGATTCGCCACTGTGTTCAAGATTTACAATTTTAGATGACTGAATATTGGAACGTAAAACGTTCTAGAATTTACGAATGTTTAAGAAATGTTGCTACAGCTTGAATCTTTGAGCTCTTCGAGTGCTCTTGCTAAACATTAAAGCTAACAGTTTTCAACTGCTCCTCCGAAAATAGTTACTAATAGCTAAACTCGTTATATAAACTGAAGCCTTTATTTAAAACTTGTCAAAAATGTAAATGCTCGTTACATTACACAACATTATAACTTGCGAACGCCCGTTAGAGATGGAATGTCGCAAATAAATCTCCAAATTTACAATATTGTAATGAAGGTTTGAAGACTCAAAGTTCATTTGCAATACTTTTACAGTTACCATTCCAGAACCATTATTTTATTCTTATAAGCGATGTGAATACATAATACTATACTGTAAAGCATAATTATGAATACCCAACCCGCATAAAAACACTAACCGTATAAAATCAACAATAACAAACTTTCTTAGCCCTCATATCTCAAATATATTTCAATCACCCTACCCCCCATTACTACATATAAAAACATCTCCCAGTTTAGATAGAAATTCGGCAACACTTTGAAACGGTCGATCCGTAGTTTACCCTTTAACATTTCCTGCAACCGTTTTCAGTAATTGCTGACAATTTAACCCTGTTTAACTAGCTCAATTAATTTACACTTTCAGGAAATGTATAAATTGAATACTTTGTTACGGGCTCCGGCGTACATTTTCATATTCCTCCAATTTAAACCTCCTTCTAACTCTCAAAATATGTCTACCTATGTGTTCTAAATTTACCTACGAAATAGAGTGCACCGCGCCACAAAATCTCTCCTAATCAGATTCATTAATAATGCAAAAATAATTTTGATTCGGTCGTTGTCTCTTATGCGCACCAGTGGAGTATTTGGGAATAATATTAACAGGCTGTGGCGCTGTTATGCCTTTACCCCGCCATCAAGTGGCGTCATTGTAATTTTTATAGAAATGTATCATTTTTGTACACGAAATGGTCTATCGATAGCTTCCTTGAATCGTTGTTGTTGTAAGTATTCTTCTTCTTCCTGTTGTTGCAAAATAACGGGTTTCTCTTTAACTACTGGTCAAATTGCTTTAAAATTTTGAATGATTAAACAATTGCTGTTGTTTACAGAAGACTTTAAGTTCACATTTCACACATTTCCAGTAATTCGTACAGTAAAAGTACAGTAATTCGTTTTTCACTTCAAACTTTTGTGCGATGACGAGCAATTTGTGCATTAGGTTGGTATTGCATATTTGTGACTCATGATTAAACAGCTGGTGGACGCCGGTAAAATCTGTGGACGAACGTATCAATACCAATGTGAAAGAACTATTTTTATATATCTAAAACAGTGCTGAAACAGGTGAACCTCGAGCATGCCACAGTTGATCACACAGTTTTCCTAATTTTCAGACTAATTTGCTAGTTGACGGCCAAGGTAATGGAATAATTTTAATAAATTCATTATTATTTCAAGAGTGTGATTTTCTTCATTATTAAGATATTTTGTAATTTCCCACATGTGATCTGTATTAAAAAATATTGTCATATCTGTCCTGTTATTTGGAGTTCGCCCTTCGACGTTTAAATAAACTCACGGATAAATTAAAAGTTTATTTTTAATCACTGTTTGTTTTGAAAAAAAATTTCTGTATGACTTTTGATTGCTACAAATGATCAATATCCTAAAAGATTGTCCTATACATCGTATCATTCTGTCTTACAGCTCAACATACAAAAAATAGCATAGGGTGTATAGGATTAAAATATTTATTCCGGGAATGAAAGCTGATAAATCGGCGCTCCAGAAGTATGTGTACCAATATGGAGGTAACTAATTTTGTTCGCCAACTTTACATTAAGTTGTGTGAAGGGACTGAAGCCTATAGGCAGGGTGTATATTCACTTGTATAACACAGACAATCCCCGAACTTTTAATACAACTAAAATAAGGAAATTTGGAATAAACTTATGGCCTAACCCTAACCTGGTACAAATACTACGGGAGTACCGATATATCGGCGTAATCACATACGAAATCTAACTACTTCGGTGACTGAAACTACACTTTCTAGCATAAAACTTACAATATACAAAGCTCGTCGAACTAATTATTTCAATATGCATCAAGTGACAATGTTTGACAATGTTAGAATACACCGATATTGGGCAGAAATGTGTGCAGCTTTTATTATTACAGCGTGAGAAAAAGAATTAATATATTTAATATTTTTAATTTCACACAAAGTGTACACTAGGACAGTTTTTCTAATTTTTTGTTGTTGAAGTCATATACATATTATGGCGCTCCCGAAGTATGTGCACAAAGATGGCGCACAACCTGAACCCTAACCAGGTATATGTTTAGGTTGTGCGCCATCTTGGTGCACATAATTCTGGAGGTCCCACATAATTATATATTTCTGTTATTTTACCCAAAATTTTGCTGCATTATTTTAGCCCGATGCAGCAATTTATATGATATTTGGAAGCACTGTTGGTTATCACATAACCTTCGTATAGTTGAGAATTGTTCACAAAATATTGATTACCTCGACCTAAAAGTTATATGTCAAAATATTAAAAATGATAAAACACATTGTTCAATTACAAAATAAACATTAAAGCACAAAATTTGATCAAAATCTACAATCCACTAAACAGATTGTTGAACATCGCCAACATTAGGTCGTTTCTTTAGGGTTTCTGCATCGTCTCTTGTGGGCGTTTCTTTATTGGTTTGTTTTTTATACGTTCCCAAAGTCTTCTAATAATGTTAGAAATTACATCATTTTTATCGTGACCAGCTTCATCGGTTGTTCTAAGCCACCACGGAGTAGTTGTTTTCATTGGAGTTGTTTCTGTTGGTGTTGCTGCCGTGCTGGTGCCGTAATACACTGCCGTATACTGTATTTTGAAACCCGGTGCTGTAATAAACTTGTCACTATGGAAAATAATATAAGCGCTGTTGTTACTGGACTGAATTTGAGCATTGAAGTTTTCATAAAATCCCGTCAGATGAGCCAGCTGTGGTCCTGTTTGATCCGGTGTACCATCATACATGAATACGTAGTCAAAGTCATCTTCTGTGTAAAAGTAGTCTACTTCGAGAACAATATTATACCAGGAAGGAACATGAATGATCCAGATGCAGTCAACGTTATTTTGATAATTTTCCGGATAATTTGGCGAAATAATTGTGCCATTGTTTTCGTATAAGGTGCCCCCACAGCTAATCGATTGAGATGGCAGTTTGTCTGGCGGTATATAAAACTCTGCATCGTATCGAATATTAAAACCGTTTGCCACTGAGTACGAATTAGTTGTGAAACGAAGAAAGGCAAAATTTGACGAAGTAACGATAGTGTTATTGTATGGAACATATCCCTCTAGATCTGCTATGATTTTATTGTTTTCAGAATCCCCGTCGTAAACGTACAAATAATCACCACTTCCCAACGAGAACGATTGTATACTCATTCGAATAAAAGTACCGAAAGGTGTTTCTACAGACCATTGGCATTCAAGATCGTTTCCATAGTAATACGACGGGTAACCTGGTGATGAAATATATCCATAGAAACCAGATAAAGAGCTTTTCCCGCATGTACTATTGGACATGGGTTGCGTGGTAACAGGTGAGGCTGTTGTATCAGATTGTGTGTACTCATTTGTTGAATACACATAAATCAAAAATCCTTGATCAGTTACACCAGAGTTAGACTGAAAGTGCATTGTTGCGTAAGAAGACGTTGGAATATCGAGGTAGAATAAATAACCTGTAAACTTTGCAATGAGTTGTGAAGAATCGGTTCCAAATCCATTGTAAATTCTCACCCAATCGTTAAAGTACTCAAGTCTGAAATAATGGATCCCAAATCGCAAAGCGCCGTATCCACTGTCTGCTTGGATTCTCCATTGACAATCGGCATTGTTGGGATACCCAACACTAGAAAATCCCGGAGACTCTATAATCGCAGATCCCGTCAAATACTGAATTTCGCTGCGCTGCTGTGAGCTAGAATAAGTCATATCCGAGTATATTTTTTCTTTAGATGTTGCTCCGATAACGACAAGGTCCACCTATTAAAAAATGAAAAGTAGAAATGCAATAAGCTTCAAATACTCTTGAAGTAAACAAGTTAGTATATGAGCACAGATGACTGCGACAAAATGTCCGCGGGCCACAGTCCAATTGCAACGACACCATAGGGGTTTTTAATGTCGTGTTACGTGTTTGCGCCAAACTGGGACGAACACGTGCCTGACAAAAATTCAATAACGGATATTTTTTTTTTCATTGGTGCCATGTTATAATTAAAAAAGTTGAAATTTCTGACAGTAAAAACGTTGATTACAAATGGCGTAAGTTAGATTCGAGTGGTGTCTGAAATATATGGTTAAGCAATCAGGATGTAGTTAGCGTAATTTGTCAAAGCAGGTGACATTATTGTACAAAACATTCACACTAATTACGATAGCTATGTGGAGCAATTACGGGTTAAAAATATTTATTAAGAAAGTGTCACAGGGGAAGAAATAGTTGTCGAATGCAGTGTCGAATGGACTATCTCTCTGGAAATATCCAAGGAGAGCAAAATTACTGGCCAGACAATACATACCGTGTTCCCTTGGAAATAAGACAGGGTTCAGGACAGGTCATTTCAATTATTTTTTTCGAAAAATAACACTATTTTATATTATGGCTTATTTTATGGGATGTCTTTTATTTACATTTATCAAAAACTAAAATTACAAAGTATCGAATTACGAGATTTCCAAATATATAAATTATGAAAAAGATGACTGGGTCTTATTTCAAGGGGAGGGCTTAAATTAAAATTCTTTTTAAAATTCAGGCTAGGTCTTATTTTCGTGGAAAGGAAACACGGTAAGCCTACGTCCCTCTTGCTTTATATTGATGGGATTTTATTGAATAACTAAGGTTAAAATTTTATAATGCTCAAGTTATAGTGAACACTAAAATGCAAAGGTGCCAGTGGTTTCAGTTGAATTTAAATGTAGTTGTAGTAAAAATGGCAATACATAAATTCTATGGTGTACAAATGTATTGTATATGTGCAGTTTCGTAGTGTATAAACCTCAAATTCATTACCAAAACACTTTTTGAAGAAACTGTTGTGTTAAACAAGAAATAGGTGATCCAGTAGTTTGTGTACCAGGCTAGGGTTATGCCATAATTTTATTCCAATTTTCCTTATTTTTAGGGTTACCATATTTTTCTGATCTCAAAGCGGGACACATCCAAAGACCATAGCTGTGGTTTTTTCAACTTTAAGTTTAACGATTTTCCATTAGGGGCCTATATTAAAAACAATCCCGCTGTCTTCATTGACCATATTGTCATCGAGCGTTCATGCGCTATCTGCCTAAATATCGGTTTCAGTTCGAAATAAAGAAAGGAATTTACGTTAACGTTAAACATCATTTTGGCATACGGGGCTTACACATAACAACTCGTATAGTCCGGCAGAATCGGGCCTCAACATTGTTTTGGGACATAAAGTTTTTTTTATTGTTTAGATATAATGTATATGACATATATAATGATACCCAGGTGGGTGTGGAGTATATAATGTTGAGCAATTTTTTTTAAGTGGATCTAGAGTATTCGGTCCAAGATGACGCACATCCTGAACCCCGACCTGGTAAACATACAATGTTCAGGTTGTGCGCCATCTTGGTACGATTACTTCAGGAGCGCCTTTTTGTTAAAAACAAATATTTCATAACTACATGGTTTAGTTTTGTATACATAGTAACATTGAATCTCCTTACAACGTCAGGAATTCAATTTTAGTACAATGAATGGTAGTTTGTTTCACTAATACAAGCCAAGATCCATCGACAGCATCTAGCCACTTTCTATTGCGCTCTTCAAACTACATTTGCGTTGTCGCGCGCATTTCGTTTTCCTAGTTTAAGCTTAGGGACTTGGGAAATATTTTATTAGTTGAATTGGATTGGAATATTTGACCTCGTCTTTCACTCCGAACAAGGCCATGTAAAACCGTCCACTGGTATCTAAAGATGTGTAACGTGTTTTTTTTTGGAAGAACCGCAACCTTTCAGTGCGGCATTGACTTTGGCAAAATTAATATACAGTATCCTTGTGGAGATAGAGGATATGCGTATGCGAAACCGAGATGTGCACCTGTTATGCCAATTCCCGACATAGTTTAGTCAAACGTTTTGAATACTAATACATCACACACATTTTCCTGCGTGCTTCGGTTGTACGTAGTAACGCGCACATTTTTGCGCACATGCATCAAGTTTCACTTGATTATTGAGCTATAGATTTTTGACGAGCTTTTGTGTATACACATATATAATATAATTATATGATTTTATTCTATAGAATTTGTATGCTGTTCTAAAGAATACTAGTTTCAGCTTTTCCATTCTCTTAAACCGCGTGTTGAAAGTGAGTTTTGTAATATTGCGTGTTGGTTTCCAACATCCTTAAATCGGTGATGCCAGTAAATCTTTAAAACAAAAAGATCAGTAACATCTGCAATAAAAACAGCAGTACCCACTCAAATGACAGCTGGGGGATGGATATACTCTTAGTATCTGCTCCATCGCGTGCCTCTTACAGTCTTACCAGTTTACATGCGTGTCAATCGGTATCTAAGCTCAGCCAGAGACAATAGGTTTCGGACTGCAGTTGCCGTGACGAAATGTTTTTAAATATATATTCAACAATAAGATTATTTGATTGCATACTACTGAAAGTTCCGCCTTATATGTCTTTTCCCATTGCACTATTCCTTTACTGATATTCGATAATATGACGCTCATCTGACATGGTTCTTAAAGTGTGTAGATGGGTATAATCTTTTCCACGCTGTTCAGATGGGAATGCGCGAATATATATAAGAATTGCTAATATTGGTTTGCAATGCGATGAAATCCCATCTTGGCATTTCTGCCTCTCGCAATTGCTGCGTATACTTATCGGGGAATTTCTGTGTCGTGGTTATCGAATGAAAAAAAACATGGGAGTATTGTTTCTACTTCTCTACTACCATCAAACCTTGACATTTTGTGAAAACTTTTTTCCATGCAACCTTTTTTAAAACATCCCCAACAACCACAATTAATTTTGTTATTAAACTCTCGAAATAAACACATAAAATCATCAACGGATGCATATCACCACGTAGATATTGCTGAATTGATATTTATTTTACCATTTTTCATGTAATTCTTTCTGGTAAACCTGTTATCTATCGTAAATACAGCACATTTCACAATGCTGTAGTGTGACTATTTTGGCCTCACATTTTTGATATTTGTAGTTAGAGCTCTTGGGGCTCTGTCAAACAAAGGTACATACAAAATATTGGTTGTAAATTGCAAAACATGATCATGTTGTTGGAATAACTTGGCATTTTACCACCCGTATATCATTCATTGTTGAGAATATTATTGCGCACAACCTGAACATAGTATTGTAACAGGTTATGTTTCAGGTTGTGCGTCATTATGATGCACATGTTTGACGGAAACACTAATACAAATATCTCAATAAATACCTAAAAGTTATTGATTTTATTTCCTAGTAAATTTGGTGCTTGCGTAGTTTGTGCACCAAGATTGCGCACGACCTGAACATATCATTGTAACAGGTTATGGTTCAGGTTGTGCGTCATTATGATGCACAGGTTTGACGAAAAACACTAATGCAAATATCGAGCCGTAAAATAAATTGCTCAAGGCTGCAAACTCCACACCCATGTAGAAATGATGGGCAATGACCCCAGGATGAATAATCACAAATAAAAAAAAAACTTTATGTCTGAAATCAAACTTGGGCCAAAAAGGTCCCCTTATCTGCCGGACTAGTAGCAATTATCCGCTAATGTTAGCGGAAAACAACCAACCAGCGAGACTTTTGGCTGATCGGTCGGGACGCCGGGACAAGACGTTGAAAAGTGGGACAGTCCCGCCTAAAACGGGACGTAGGGTAAGCCCACTTATTTTAGTTTTATAGCGACTTCGAGGAATGTCTGTGTTAGCCAAGTGAATACACCCCTAGCCAATAGCTTCAGTCCCTTAACACTACTTGATGTAAAGTAGGCAAACAAAATTAGTTACGGTACCTCCATATTGATACACACACTTCTGAATCGCCGCGAATTGCTTGTAGGAGTGTATTGAATTGCTTGTTAGAAAATATAAAATGGCGGTGTATTATACTAGGAAATAAATTAAAACTCACTTCATTGTTTGTTATAGATCTTTTCTTCACTTCATCGTTTTCTGCATTTGATAAGGCAAGATCGAATACACACAAGAAGGCAGTAAAAACGGATAAAATCGCTTTCAGTGAAATCATTTCACCGGCTGGCCTAAATCTGAAGATGAAAAATAATTTTGACCGTGTGAAAGAATAAATTATAAATTTTGGTCCTCCCGTAGTATGTGCATCAAGATGGCGACCACCGGAAAGTAGTGTGTGTATCAGGTTGGGGTTTGGTCATAATTTCAGGTACAAATACTACTGGAGTCACTTGGCTAGTACCCCTAACTCGAAGTAGAACTAAAATAGGGAAAATTGGAATAAAATTATGGCCTATCCCTAACCTGGTACACATTCTATGTACAGGTGTCCGCCTCTTGGTGCACATACTACGGGAGCGTTTGCCTCCAACTAATCTTGCCGTTTTGAGCCAGTACGCTGTCGGTACTAAACCAGGAAATTCGGTAAACTGCACCCTGTCCCAAAGAGTGCATAAGTACAGTTACCACTCATTTTCGATGTTATATAGTTTGAAGAGCGAGACGACATACGAAAAAATAAGATGAAAAAAGGGTACGAAACATCCAACCATGCGTGTGTCACGTGATCACATTTATAAATTTTTCTTCGAAACTCCAACTCAAATTCCGACCCTGAGAAGTAACTAAATATAATGTATATATGTCAAATAATTACAAGCCGATACATAGTCCACATCTTAACAATGCTTATTACAACCATATATAAAGTCATGGTGTTTTATTTCGGGGCTATTTATTGCAGTGACTTTAAAATACTACTAAATTTAACCTTCAAAAAAGTATTTGATTATAAGATTGCAGATTTCCGATCAATGTTTACCCCCATATCAACTTGGGCGTTTATTCGCCGGAAACCGCTTTCCGCCAATTGCTATTTTTCTATAAAAGTTATACATTACCAAATAATCGCGATAAACAACCATTAGTAGAGTTATAATATAATAACCGGCAATATTTATCATTAGGCAAGGTATAGGCTTGAAGCCTGGGGGTCTCAACATTTAATTTTTGGTACTCTCGTAGCGTGTGTAACAGGTTAGGGTTAGGCCGTAATTTCATTCCGATTTTTCCTAATTTTGGTTCTAAAACGAGTTCGGTGATTGTCTGTGTTAGCCAAGTGAATATACCCCCTGTCCATAGGCTTCCGTCCCTTTACACAACTTGATGTAAAATAGGCGAACAAAATTACTTACCTCCATATTGGTACGCATACTTCTGGAGAGCAAAAAAAAGTACTTGACGATAAGATTGCAGATTTTCAATCAATGTTTACCCCACATATCAACTTGAGCGTTTATTTGCTGGAAACCGCTTCCCGCCAATTACTATTTTTAATAAAGAAGTTATACATTACCAAATAATCACGATAAACAACCATCAGAGTTAAAATATATATACAAAAAGTACTTGACGATAAAATTGCAGATTTCCAATCAATGTGTACCCCCATATCAACTTGAGTGCATATTTGCCGGAAACCGCTTCCCACCAATTGCTATTTTTTAATAAAAGTTATACATTACGGAGTTATCACGATAAACAACCATTAGAGTTGTAATATAATAACCGGCCATATTTATCATCAAGCAAGGTGGGCTGAAGGCTGGGGCCTCAACATTCGATTTTCGGTTTTCCCGTATATTTCCTGTACCAGGCTAGGGTTAGGCCATAATTTTATTCCGATTTTTTCTAATTTCAGATCTCTTACAAGTTCGGGGATTTTCTGTATTAGCCAAGAGAATATACTCAGTGGTGGGATTCAATTTTTTGTCAGCCGGTTCCTTCACAAAATTCATATTTTTTACCCGGTTCTGATACAAAAATTAATTGACAGTAACCAGTAATGCTAACCGGTTGGCTGATCTCATAAAATTCCGTGAGACGGTTCTATAGAACCGGTGCGAACCGGCTGAATCCCACCACTGAATATACCCCCTGCCCGTAGCTTTCAGTCCCTTTACACAACTTGATGTAAAGCAGGCAAACAAATGTTTAGCCACATATCAACTTGAGCGTTTATTTGCTGGAAACCGCTTCCCGCCACTTGCTATTTTCAAAAAAAAAGTTATACATTACCAAATAATCACGATAACCAATCATCAGAGTTAAAATATATATAAAACCTTATTTTTTCATTCCAAATTCACGGAATCATTTGACGTCACAATGCTTGCATACGATGTGCATTATTAGAACTAAAAGCAATGTTATTTATATATATTTTAGTTATTTCGTTTGGTTCTTATTTTTCATGTATATTTATTTTCTATTTAACTATTTGCTCCAGATTGTGTTCATTCAAAAAAAGTTTAAATACTGGTCATTTGACGTCATCTGCTGCTGTATACAGCAATTTAGGTGTCGCTGACACGTTAACTTTATAGTTTATTCGCGGCTCCTCGCCTATTGCAGTCGAATTATTGTACGACTGTTATTTTTTTTCTCTCAAATCATTTATTTTCTTTGTTTATTTATACAATATTCCATGCACGACGGTAATAAATATCTGAATCTGTAAATTCAATAAAAAATAATAAAATAAATTCACGAATCTAATGCAACGTATTACTTCGGATTTCAATTGTGACAGTTTGTAATTGAAAGACGCAATGTAATTCCACTTACTTCAAATATATGTGATATATATAATATTATTGAATAATATTCACATAGAAAATTACAATCACTTTCAGTGATCGGAAAGTTGCGACGGAATATTACGGAGGGTTAATTAACGTTTCAAACATGCCATCTACATGCGGGGTTAGTTATGTGCGAGAGGATTGCTGGACTCCTCGTCGTCGTAGGATGGATGGTTCCCGTAACCGCTGGTCGGTTACGGCTTCCTCCACCATTAAGTCCCTGCTTCCGAAAACAAATAACTAAGAGCGTACTTGGTGTATATGCATAGGTACCGTTTTATTATTATTATTATTGGACACGTACCGTTTTTCCCCGAAAATAAGACTGAGTCTTATTTCAATTTTCTTCCGAAAGATAACACTAGGACTTATTTTCAGGGATGTCTCATATTTTCATTTATCAAAAACAAAATTACAAAGTAGAGGATTACGAGATTTTCAAATATACAAAATATAAAAACGATATCCATTTACTTATAAATAACGGTTCCATTACATTTGAACCCACGTACATTTGAACCCACGACGATTGCATCTGTATACTATTGCACCTACAGAAAATTTTTTTGATTTACGGATATTTGAACCCATACTAACCTAACCCATGGGTTTTAGCACCTGCATATAGATTGAACCCGCGGATATACACATGGGTTCAAATGTACTTGGGTTCAAATGTACGGTCACCATAAATAACACATCCTATTTCAAGAAAAGGGCTTATAGTAAAATCATTTCTAAAATTCAGGGTAGGTCCTAATTTCCGGGAAACACGATAGTGGACCCATGGATCGTTTTGTTTTGTTAAAAAGTTCCCCCTTATCGTTATTACCAAATGATTTAAAATTTCATTGGGTGAAGATTATATTTTTCGCTAGAAGGCTATTACTTTTATTTGGTCCTAAATCTGATATTTCATCTAAAATGTGTTGCATAATTTTCAATTCCGGTAACACGTTTTTAGGACATCGTAATGGCTGTCTTCCACGTTTTTATGACGTCGCGACGAGTAGTTTACTATGACCACAGAATTGAAAATATATATATATATATATATATATATTGCATACCTATATTACGGCGTTTTGGGACTTTGTGTCCATATATATATTTGAGCATCGCTCTCTCGTTTCTCAACGTTTTGAGAAACCACATTGACCTCACATTTCTAAGTCCATGCTTCCGAAAAGAAATAACTAACTAATCCCATACCCGACATGGCATGGTAACCGGACGAGAGGCCGTGGTTCGCCATATGATTAAGCCGTCTTATCGGTTTTTGTTCGCTCGGGATAAATAGGTAATTCCTATCCTAAGTCAAAAACCTCTAGTGCCCCACACGCCCTCACGTTTATTCCTCCTATATTTATTAGGACTTATCAAGACTTATTTTAATTATTTAAATAATTTACCGTGTTTTCAAGGTATTATTTAAATTTTCCTCCGGGAAATAACACTAGAGCTTCCGGGGGAGATTTCTTTCATTTTCAAATATCAAAGACAAAATTACAATGTAAGGAATTACGAGATTTTGGATTGAACAAAATATGAAAACCTATATTCATTTACGGGTACTCCTGAAGTATGCGCCCCAAGATGTCGCACAACCTGAACCCCAACCTGGTACACAACCTGAGTTCAGGTTGTGCGCCATCTTGGTGCGCATACTTCAGAAGGTCTTATTTACTTATAAATAACACATTTTCCTCTTTCAAGCGTTTTAGATTATTTATCTATTTAAATTATTGCTTGTTATCGACTAGGGCACCTAGATCAAAATAAAATTTTCGCTATCGACTAGGTCCTGTTTTAAGGCTCACATTAAAATCGATTTCAAAATTTAGGCTAGGTCTTATTTTTTGGTAAACACGGTAGTATTCATTTCAAAATGAATCCAAGACCGAGTCATCAGCCCTATTTCAACAAGTAGATGTAAGGAAGGCATAGTACACTTTGGTGGCGCAACATCGTGGCGCAATATTTTCGGCGTCACGTGTTCAAAACAAACCAACAAACGTATAAAAGCGGATCCGCTACTGCAGCGTTGCTATTGTTGTCGATGTTTGCATTCGGAGGTAGGTGGTATTGCTTTGTAAATTGCTAGTTTGCAATGCTGCAACACTTTAATACACTCTATCTTATACACTTCCACACTTTTCTATATCGTTTTATGAATCCCGTCTCACTCATCACACGCACAGCCGCTATTCACTACCGTACCGGTACTTACTACTGTAAGTAGACTAATTTCACGCAATTTGATTATGAAGACGCCTGAATAATGACCAACCGTTTATAAGCAATTCATGTTTGTTTGATTTGGTTTCTTTCTTCCACGTGAGTGAATGCGTTTAATACGTTATAAACTTATTTTTAGGTTTTGTTCACTTTCCAGATTTAAATCTATCTGTCTATCATGAGGAATTAAACATTTGACAAGAAGCGTAAATAAATGATTTTTTGCATTTTTATCATATGCTGTTAATATTTTCAATTTTTCCAATTTCTATTTCCTCATTTCAGATCTAATATTTGGCAGAGATTCAATCTGCTAACTCTACCCAACATCATGTCTGATTCTACAAGGTAACTTCAAAATTCATTTTATCTCACTTTGTTGCGATTTATTGAGCCCGTACACTTTGAACACGGGTGCATTCGCAGAGCTATTTTAGCATAGTTCAGTAAAAGGACGGAAGCCTATGAGCAGGGGATATATCCACTTGGCTAACACAAACAGTCCCCGAACTCATAGAACTGACATTAGGAAAATCAAAATGAAATTATGGCATAACCCTAACCTGGCACACACACTACGGGAGTACCGTCAAATATATACCTAAAGCCTGGCAAAATTTTCCAATTGCCCAATATGCTGCAAAAAAGTCTACTACCATTTAAGACTACTTTTCATCATTAAGAATTTCCCGCATAGTATTTGATTAATTCAGTTTCAACTCTTCACATATTCATAATATATTTAACAGATTCACATGTGATTATGCGAAACGAAAAGCGAATTGCAAAAAATGCAAACAACCAATAGATAAAGGAGTTGCCAGAATCGCCAAGGTTACTCCTAATTTTTTCAACGATGGGGACGGCGAAATGAAAATGTATCATCATATAAACTGCATGTTTGAGGTTTGTGATACATTAATGTCTTTTCTACTTCTATATAAATCATTGAACCGTGAGTAGTCGGAATCGTCTCATTTCACCTGGCATGTGCATATGCTGCTATTTATAGCATACTTGTTTTATGTTAAGGTAGAAGACAAATAGTATTGAAGTGGAATCACCAGTTGGTTCATTACAATGTAATTTTTATGTTTTTAGTGCACTTTAAATTATTTATGTTATTAGTGTTTCAAGAATTAAGTTAAATTAATGAGAAGAAAAGCTATGACTCGAGTCATTATTTTTCTAAAACCATGAAATGACACGTTTATCTGCATTAGTTTCTACTCAAAGTTCATATCATTTGTAAGTAAACACATATACGACACTAATTTGACAATGAATTCTACGTTATACACTCAATCGAAGTACTGGTACTTGATCAAACTTTCGTACCCATCCAAATTCAAAACACAGTCTATACCGGGCCTATTTAGCTCTTGAGTGCTGTGATTCAAATCATTTGGTCGTTGAAACACTTTTGTTCATAAGCGCACTCATCTTGGTTATAATTTAATTCATACCCCCTGTGTCCTATATGTCAATATCTGATACTTATGACTTTTACTACCCTAGTTTCCACTTTTTTAATGTAGTCAATTCCGATTCCACAGAATATGCAACTGTCATCAAATATATGAATGTTTAAAACTCAATTTACAAAAACTTTAAAATTAGTTCAATTTCAACTGAATTATTCGATATTCTTTTGTGTGAGCTTTGATACATATTTCACTACAGTCAAAAGTGTCTTTTTCCATTGCTTAGGTATTCTCTCGAGCACGAGCAACCACCAAGAAAATTGAAGATCCGAGTGACTTGGAGGGTTTTGCAAATATGGAAGATGACGAGAAAACTGAAATTAAGAAATTAATCGTAGGTAAGAACAGGCTATAGATTTTTAAGTATTTGATCTGGGATAGTGTTTACAAGTTGTATTGGTACATGAATGTTATATAGGTATCTCTGAATGAATTTCAATATCAGTGCCTCCTGTAGTATTAAAAACTGTTTCTCTGGAATGAATCTGGACTGTGAGAAGTGACTTTGACTAATATATTTTTATTCCTTCTTTGTGAGATGGAACCCCTGTTTGTTATAAAGAATTCAGGCACAACTATCTTTTAGGAAAATTTGATTAGTTTGGTTTATCATACTGAATCTATTACAATTTTAGTTGGGTAGTTAACATGGGGATAGAATCAAAGATATGTGTCACATATGACGCCAACATTCTAAGCATTGTATGCGCATTATTCACACACTTCTAATTGAGAATTATCCTTGAACATATTGCGACTTTCAAGTCAACTCATATTTATCTGATATTATGTGACTGATAATCACACTAGTCCTTACATAAGCAATTCATTCCAACCTACAGAATTATGTGCAAAACAAGCTGAAAAGCAGGCCAAGTCACCTCGTGGTGGAGGAAAGAAAGCAACACCGAAGAAACAAAAACCTGCTAAAGCACCTTCTCCAGTTAAAATGAGTAAGACATATATACTGCATTTAGGTTATGTCAAAAAAAATTATCGTTCGATTAAAAGATTTATTTTTAGGTCCATGGAAACCCAACATTGTCATATTTATTCATAAAATTTTCAATACATTATTTTTTGATTACGGTATATATTGTTATATTTTCCTATCAACAGCTTTATGGTTATCTGGGATGTGGACTGCTGAGTAGTTTAGGACTTCTCTAATTGGAATCAATCGTAAAATTGTCAACTGAATGGAAAATAGGTTAGCAGACAACAGAGTTTTCAGAGCCAATTTTTTGTTTTTTTGAGGTGTAGTTCCAAGTATTTTTTTACAAAACATTTTTGTCAGCTTAGAGTCTGGTAGAAACTTTACAGTGGTTCCACTGCTGTGTAGTTATGGTATTGTTGTTCTTCTTAATATGTTCTGGAATTTTATGCGAGATAAAAGATATTTGCAATTGCAAATTGTTAATCAAAAACAATGTTACTATTCAGAAGCGAGTCCACTGTCGAAGCCAATCCAATCTGCTTCCATACACACATTGAGCACAAGTGCTGATTCATCTAAACCGCCTCCTCCGTTCTCGAAAGATAATAATTTTCGTGAATATCGTAGACTATGTGCAATGATTGCTGATGAATCAAGTTATAACGAGAAAACCAATATTGTCAAGAATTTTATTACTCATGGAGCAAGTGGCTGTAAGTTTAATTTAATAATACAATTAATTTATTGTATATTGACAGATTTAGAAATAGAAATTTTATATTCATTTTTGGTGGGGGGAAAGATGATAAGACAGCTCACTCATAATTATGGCGTACCATGGCCTCTTGTATTGTTACCAGTCTATGTCTGGTATGGGATTAGTTAACGAGGGTTTCTGATGTATGGACTTGATGATGGAGGAATCCATGACTGACCAGCGGTTATGTAAGCCACCTTATGACAGCTAGGAGTCCAGCAATCCTCTCACACATAAATCATTCCCCCATGTAGGGATGGGCAATATAGAATACCGAATCCGGAGGATTCGAATCCCAAAGTATTCGAATCCAACGGGATCTGATAACAGGATTCGGTTTCCGCCTCTCTGGCGCCAAGCGTCAATTTTTGTATTTCGGGTTTCTAATTTATCAATTATAGACGAGCGTTTTTCTCGCGTGGAAATCTCTCTCGTTTAATTAAACTTGCGTCTGCTCGCAAAGAACCCGTAAATCGGTAAACATCAAACACTGTAATTTCAATCGGCATATTAAGGACAAGAAGTCGGTAATATAACCTCACGGCGAGGACTCGTTATTGCACCACTTTTGCCTTTTCCTTCTTTGCTACCCAGCTAGCGTTATTTGTGCCGACTTATTGGTGATATTCCGATAATCTGAATGCAACAATCTTTAATTGTTTACAGACGTGCCTTGCCTCATTTTAAATTAAATGATTTTTCGCGACCTACGAGTTTTCCCAAAAAAAGGATGCACGTAAACCAAAAGCCAGGCGTTAAATGTTATAACATTACTCGCCATTAATTTAGATCAAATATTATTCACGAATAATTTTATTATACCATTTTCCGAAATACAAAGTTATATCGCAAAACGCGAACAACTCTCACATTTAAATTTCACTCTCAAAAGATTACATATTTTTCGGTCCGTTTCTATCGTTCAAGATAGACGCACGTTTGATCGAGTATTCTGTAGTATTTTAGTCGCCGATGAATTTTGAAAAAAGTTGCCGCATCTGGCGAAGATAGTGACGTATTGAATTTGAGTAGGGCTAAGTCTGGGTAGATAATGATTAATGATAACATTTCTATCGTTCAAGATAGACGCACGTTTGATTGAGTGTCTGTTGTATTTTAGTCGCCGATAAATTTTGAAAAAAGTTGCCGCATCTGGCTAAGATAGTGACGTATTGAATTTGAGTAGGGCTAAGTCTGGGTAGATAATGATTAATGATAACATTTCTATCGTTCAAGATAGACGCACGTTTGGTTGGAAGTCTGTAGTATTTTAGTCGCCGATGAATTTTGAAAAAAGTTGCCGCATCTGGCGAAGATAGTGACGTATTGAATTTGCGTAAGGCCAAGTCTGGATAGATTTGTAACGATATGTAACGATAATCATAGAAAAATGAGTTCGTCTTCAGATGTTATTACATAATAACTAAGTACGAAATCGCGTTTACGGGAACTTGGTTTTACGTGTCTTGCTCTCACAGAATAAAAGGTTGATTTTAATTGATAGTGGTTAAATTTAATATTTTGCAACGGCGCATAGGTTGCAGTGGCCACACGCTGGTTCTCAGCGGGTTCGTTTTAGTATACTCGGCAGACTTACATTAATAATGATTTAACGCCGTTTCAAGTCTATTTTGTATTTAACCGCTTACTATTAAAGTGTGTAAAGCGTGTCTTAATTTAGCATATCAGTATTTATTAGTATTTAGGGATTACATACCTTTGGAACAATTGAAGGCAAAAAATATTGTAATATTCCTAAATTTTATTGTCCTGGGAACTGCCTGTTTAGTATCAAATGAAATCCAATGTTCAGGACATTTCCAAATAGATGATACATTTATAGTAAGTAATACATTTGCAATTTTTTACCATCTAAATCCAGCAATGTAGAAATTCCCACTATTTGAATAAGTATAAAAATAGAATAGGATTCGGTATTCTGGATTCGATTTAACTATTCTAGAATATTCTAGAATAGTTAATTCTTCTACATTGCCCATCCCTACCCCCATGGGGATCCCGCTTTTCTCCTATCGTGATATGATATGAGAATACCTAAATCAAAGCAATCTGTATTTTCGATAAATGGACATAGTTCAAGAGACATAGTACTAATCACCCTAGGATGATCAATAGTTAGAAAACATGAATGAAACATCAATGATTTTTTCTGACCGATCTTCCATGAATTTTACAGCTGGATATACAGGTGACCTTCACATCCTCATCAAACTTTTACTTCCTGGTTCAATCAAAAGAACTTATAATCTTCAGAATAAAACAATTGCAAAAATTTTCAGCAGAATATTTGATACAGACCTTGATGAAATGATGGAACATCTAGAACAGGTACAAGTTTACAGCTATAACTAAATTTGAATATTTTTTTAACCTTTAACCTTGCTTGCTCAAAGTGACGCTCACTGAAACTAAAAGATCACTGGTGATACGTTCCAGCAACCATGTGTGAGCGTCTACATGAATCAGCATTGTACTTAGGAATACGTTTGCCACCGCACCTCTGATTACCCTGATTGTGTTCGCAAGTTCGAAAACCGTGGGGAATACTAATGTGCAAGAGGATTGCTGGACTCCTCGCCGATGTTTATGTAACCGCTGGTAGTTCACCATCAAGTCTGTGCATCTGAAACAAATAACTAGCTAACTAATCCCATACCCAGAATGGATTGCTAACCAGACGAGAGGCCATGGTTTGCCATATGATTAGAATGTATTATCCCCTTAAGAACTATACAAACATTGTCATAGTAAAGACTTAATAATTTTAACATACTTTAATAACATAATTTTTAGAACTGCTCGATTTTGATAATCAATATGTTTACGATGGACTTGACCAGTCGCTTTCTGAAGCATTAAGAAATTTTTAGTAAGGATGTATCTTAATTTTATTTTTCAAAGTAATTTATCACATTCTGTTAATTAACAATAATCTTTTTTTTGCCAGGGAGATGTTTCTGAAACTGTGTTTAAATTTTTTGAAGAAAGTGACTTTTTTCCACCTTGTAAGAAGAGTAATTTAACAATACATGATGTTGATGGAATGCTAGGGAGATTAGAAGGGTAAGGCTACCTGTACTATTGTTATTGAGATTGGATTATTATTGGGAAAGAATATTGGGATCTAACATTTTTTCCTTAGAATACAATATTATAGGTATTTAAATGCCCAGGTTTGGCACAATCAATCAATCATCATTTATTTGTCAACACAATACAATATAAATAGATCACGAGGAATATGACGAAATATGAGGCAAACAAAAACGACTAACATTAATTGTGTGACAGGAGTCGCGAGGGACTTCAAATGTCTTTGAGCAGGGATACATATGATGCTGATTCAGCTTAATGAATAAATTTAGTAAATGCAGATGCTTCTAATTAATCTTAATTATGGTAACCTCCAGGCACATTTTGAACATTTCACGACTGTCAAGGCATAGTTTTGGTCTACAAGGAATGATAATCTAAATTTCAATCAAGATACTTTTTCCTTCACATGAATGGGGACCACAGTCATATTGTCAAACTTTATCATCACTAGCTATCCCAATTCAATGTCAGAACCAACATTATACACAATGATTAACCTGTTTATAGCTTTGAATTCTCTTGGGGAGAAGTGTAAAGGGATTGCTTGATTCTTTTTTGTCACTGAGTATTTCACATTAATTTTTCCCAATTTATTTGGTCTTCTTGGTCATGTCCTTCAAGTCCATGCATTAGAAACAAATAACTGGTTGGTAACTTGGCCGTGGTACACCATATTATTAAGGTGTCATCCTTTCCCCGGTTTATTGGATAATCAGAATCCTATGGTATGTTGATTATTAATAACCCTGAATTAAAATCCCTGCAACACATGGATTTTTCACCTATTAAATACTCAAAGCATTTTTTTAACCTTTTTGACTTTCTTTTTTGTTAATTATTGCTTATTGTATGTTTTTATCACAGCCTCACAAGAGAAGAAGACCAAGAGAATGTATTGAAAACTTTTGCACGTAAATGCACAGCAAATGATTTGAAAGCAGTGATAAGACTCATAAAAGGAGATCTGAGGATAACAGCTGGTGATAAGCATATGTAGGTTCACCCTATTCATATTAGCCTTCGATAACTGCTCACTTTTGGTTGTGCTGTCTATTTGATTGGATTAGTTTAGTTGCTACATAGCCTACATATACCCCAGCAAGCTGCTACTTATTATATTTTTAAGATTCAGTCTTTCGTGATGTTTTTATAAATTCTCAAATGCTATAATGTTAACTGATAGTTGAAGTCTGGTAGCTTTTTCTTCACCGCTTTCAGACGCATTTTTTGGCTTTTCTAAACAATTCTCATTTTATGCTATTTATTTTACGCGGCAAACAACCAGAATTTTTTGATTTCTCCAGATTTGAATTTTTATCACATTTTTATAAAATTCTCAAATGCTGTACTTTGCATTTGACTGAATGTTATTACCTGGTAAATTTTTCATCAGTTTTATTTTTCATAAAATTCCACCTGTTCTTTGATGCCACTATTTTAATAAACTCCACCCCATACTGAGTAATCGTGCCGCCCATAATAAATTCAAATGTTGCACGGCCCATATTAGCATATTGTTTTGAACAAGCTGATACATAGAAAGATGCACTAGGACCATAATTGTCCTAATCAGTTACTGTATTTTATTTACCCTGTGAAGATAGCAGACTCTCTCAAAGAATAACCCTCAACTCAACAAAACATCAGGGACTTCTTCCCAACACTGATTCTAAAGTCTAATACAGGGGTCAGCAACCTACGGCCGGATCCGGCCCTCGACACTTCACTGAATTATAGTAACAAAACAGCTGTTTTATCGATTATATTCTTTACGCAAAAGAATTTACGTTTAGACTAAATTATATTGTATCGTAACAAGTATATAATTCACAATTACTAGTTTTAATAAGTCTATAATTTAATTATAAGTTAGACAAATGGCAACAAAACGCAGAAAAGTTGATGCTAAGTGCAAATGCTTTAATGGCGCAGAAAGGATTTAAATGGGTAGTCTTCGCTGCTTAAAATTTAACTTCTGATTTGTGTGAAAAAATGTGAATCATATCAGTCATCCGTTCGGTTTTTAACTTTCTAAAAATATGTGTGCCCCGTCAATGACTTGCAACCTTTAATTTTGGCCTGCGAGCAACAAATGGTTGCCGGCCCCCGGTCTAATACATGAGTCAGCTAGTTAATAAGGCCATATTAACTGCAAGTTTCATTACACCATAAAATCCTATTGCTTTTAGCAAACTGGTACATTGGAAGATGTATTCACACCAGAACTTTCAAGTCTAATCCATTTCTCTAATCAGGGTAGATTGTTGACATGTACCTAGCAATGTACAGTTATTATACAACAACGCAGTTAAGACATTAACTAGAATAAATGTTGCAATAAATAAAACTTGAATTTAGACTCGAAGCACTTGACCCAAATGCTCATGAAGCGTTCAAAGCATCAAGAGATTTGGAAGACGTCATCAAACGTACGTTGGAACAGAAAAAATCTGGGGGTTCAGGGTTGGAAGTTCGGGCTTCTCTGATGACCCCTGTCGCTCCTATGTTAGCTGAGGTAGGTTTTAATGAGTTCTCATTTTTCTATCTGCTGACAAATTAGTCTATTCGAATTCTCATGATATTACGGAATAACATCTTTTCAACATCAAATGATAAAATAGTGCTTTTCTCCCTTAAATTTTATAGGTTTTTGGAGAATAATTTTTTTCATTTCAAATCCATACCAGTGTTTATCAAAAGTTAACTTTCTTAAGTTTAGATTGTAATTTGTTGGATGGCTTTTCACCTCTATTTTATTACTCTTTGGAAACTGTCTTTGGTCATATGTCAGCATATTTTCACTTCATCGCATTTTTGGTAGCCTTACCTTTTTAATAATTAAGTGCAAAAACAATAAAAAACCTTCGAAAACCTTGCAAAAACACTGAAAAACCGTCCGAAACCGCCAAAAACCCTGCAAAAATGTCCAAAACAGTGAAAAATTGTCAAAAACCAACAAAAGTACTCTTACTATTATAATTTGATACTGCAGCCTTCTAATTGTTTGCTGTTTAATTAATCAAAATGTTTTCCAAGGCTTGCAAATCAGTTGAACAAGCCATGAAGAAATGTCCAAATGGAATGTATTCTGAGATCAAATATGATGGAGAAAGAGTTCAACTTCACATGGATAAAGGAAACTTTCAATTTTACAGCAGAAGTTTGAAACCAGTGCAAAAGCATAAGGTGTGGTTTGTTTCTATTATTTGTTGATGATAAATGAAAAAAAATTGGTACTCCCGTAGTGTGTGTCCCATGTTGAGTTGGACCATAATTTTTTCCGATTTTTCTTATTTTAGTTTTATTACGAGTTCGGGACTGTCTGTGTTCGCCAAGTGAATATATCTCTTGCCCATTGGCTTCAGTCCCTTGATGTAAAGTAGGCGAACAAAATTAGTTACCTCCATATTGGTACACACACTTCTGGAGCGTCTTGATTTGAGGATAGAAGTAATTGTGTTTAAGCTATAGAGTATTAATTTAAATATTGTAGCGTATTTACGCTAAAGGTCAGCGTTGGATTCATTCCACCTAAGTAAATATGTCCGTTTCTAACAATCGAGAATACAAACAACTTTGTTTGCAAATACTTATCGCCAAGCCATAGAATTCAAAGTTTCAATTCATAAACGTTTTTGATGGCCCAAATGACATAGCAATCCAGTTTCATACCAAAATATTTTTAGGAGCAATTGTTTAAAGCTAGGTAATGCACACTCGCTCAATTATTAAGGATTGATCTTCGAGCGAAGGTGTGGTTGAACCCAAAATGCCAAGAGCTACCGAGTTTTTATTCAATCATGAGAAAATCCAGTCAAAGCAGATTGGATTGGGCTCCTACAGTTCAAATTGATACTTGATCAAAATTTTCAAGAATTTCAATATGGTCTCCCAGAAAATTCAATGCCACCACCATTCTTCTTTAGTTAAATAAATACATATTACTGTACGTCTGCTCACAGCTTATGTATGCAAATATGCAATGCTCAATTCCTGTTCACCAGGAGTTGGCAAATTACGCCACACTGGTCAAATCCGGCCTGGCGAAGTGTTTCATCCGGCCCATTTGTGCCTGCTGAAATTATCGATATAAATTTCTGTTGAAAATATCGACGAAACTAAAGTCATAATGACCCGAGTTGTTACATTGTGATTCTTATTTATAAGTACCAGTATATATAGGTTAGCCTAGATGCTGGACTAGCTGATTTTTATTCATGGTTTTTCATATTGAGTTTTTAGCCTTCGGTACAGTAACCACGTCTATTATCTGTAACGGGTCTGTTCAGGAGAGTAATTGCCCACTCATACTGTACACCCTTATGCTTCCACACTTGGCAATGTGCATGTATCATATTGGTCATTTTTTATATATTTGACAGATTGCTTTTAATGATCTTTTTTTCAGATTGTCCATTTTGAGGAAGTTATTCCAAAAGCATTTCCCCATGGTCACAGTATGATATTAGACAGTGAAGTGTTACTCGTGGATAACAATACAGGTATAGTAAGGAAATATTGTTAGTTCAGAATTTATTTTGGCACTCCCGTAGTGTGTGTACCAGGTTAGGGTTAGGGCATAATTGGATTCCGATTTTCTTTATTTTAGTTCTATTACTAGTTTGGTGACTGTCTGTGTTAGCCAAGCGAATATACTCCCTGCTCATAGATTTCAGTCCTTTTACACAACTTGATGTAAAATGGGTAAACAAAATTTGTTACCTCTATATTGATACACATACTTCTGGAGCCTCTTTATTTCATCACAGATACCATTGTTGATTGTAAATTCTGTTGAAGTTCTTTATTTTAGAATTGTGTTTGCCTACTTGTAACTGAAAAGTTTAAATAAATGTGAATGGAATGTTTTTGTGTGTAGCAGGTTATAGTTTCGGTAGTTGCTTTGCAAGTTTATTTTTACATTAATCTTCATTTCCAGTACATGGCTTATAGATTTGCTTTCAAATCTTAACTGCCCGTATTTCAAACCCATTTCTACTTTTGCAAAGCTCTAATCAATTTGGTTGTGCTGTATCATTCATGTCTAGTCATTCAACTAATGTTGCTGCATACTTTTTTGATTACCTATTATGCCAGAGATTCGAATATTAGCTTACTGCTTATGTTAATCAATTCAAATCATTGGTTATTCCAAAATGGCCAGTCCTAATGCTTTCTGTAACACAATTTTTTTTAAATATGCTTCACAGGTATTCCTCTACCATTTGGAACACTCGGAGTTCACAAGAAACAAAAGTTTACTTCAGCCACTGTTTGTCTTTTTATTTTTGATATTCTGCATTTCAATGGAGAAAACTTAATGAAAAGGTAACAAGTATTTGAGTGTTCTCTTCATTTTTTTAAGCAATAAGCTGTCCCGCAACAAAGGTAACAACAGCGATCTTCAATAGTATTATTCAATAAACTTAATACTCAGTTCGCCATTCAATTTTTTTTTTTTTTATAAAGAGACATAGCTCAATTCATTGTGGTTTTTGCCATGATCAAAACATTTTCGTCAACGGTGTAAAATGTGAATTTGCAAGACTAAATTTAAATAAATAATGTGAAAAGTTCCCGAAGTATTCGTAAGTTGTGCGTCATCTTGGTACGAATACTTCCGGAGCACCAAAAGTTGGTCTTTATATGGAATTGTAAACTGTTGAAACATATTTATCCCATCTATAATCATCTAAACTGAATTTGGAACATTTTTAATAATCTAACATTTCTTGTAACAGACCAATTCGGGAACGAAGAAAACTTTTGTCAGATAATATAAATGAAATCAAGAACAGAGTGATGTTGTCAGAAATGCAATTTGTGAATGTAAGTTTGTGTTCGACTATTTTGGCTTTGATGTTATCTCTGGTTCAAGCGCCACCATGTCCACCATTTCACCACAGGTGTAATGAAAATTAAATTTTTCGTAAGAAAGGCCTCTTCTGTATGGATTCCGGTGCCTTGCTAAAAAGTGATTATTCATTCAGTTCGCAATTGTCCACGTCATTTACGATGTAAACCAATGAGCGACAAAAACCAATTACGACAAAAACCAATGAGCCCAAAGCACTGATTTTCTTGATCACAATGATCCAGTTTAAGGGCCTGGATATTACAGTACAGTATTATCTTTTATTGGACACGTAGTGGACATAACGATCGTTTCAATATTATGTTGTCCTGGTTCTTGTTGTTTGTCACAGAATAAGTGACCTAGTGGAAATATTAAAAAACAGCTTTTCTCTTCGAATACTGGACCAATTGCTTTGAAATTTTCAGTGGTTGAAGATAAAAATTTTCCCCAGAAGGCTATTACTTTTATTCATTTTAAATATTTCTGTTAGCTCCGTGAGATTTGTTTTTGTTTGCTAAACGTTCTGCGGACATCGGACGCCATTTTGTGTCCTACTGTACTGCTTCGCTTGGTGTGAATATATTTGTAGACTGTGATCTGACGGTACGGTAAACCGTACTGTACTGCGAACAGACGTGTCCATATATTTGAGCGTAGCTTTCTTGTATTTTTATGGAGTGCGTTCGTAACCTCGAAACAGCGTAAGTTGCAGTCGTAACCCGAGGACTCCCTGTATAGAACAATTGAAAATTAATGTTGTCAAAATAAATCTTTCCCATTGAATAAAAAATTGCTGTGTTGATTAACAGCTTGTAATAGTTTTACGTTTTAATCGATCTTCAGTTATAGTTATATAATTAACGGTTGAATTGTTTTGGCTAAAATTCCCAAATAAGTCTGTATACAGAAAAATGTCAGAAGTATGTTTTTTTACAATTCACTTCTCAATTCAGTAAACATTTATGGATACTAATATTATCTAAGTAAAAAGAAAAGGAATTCTAAAGACAAGATATTTCATAATTTGCATCGTATTATATTGTCATAGAAACCTGAAGATTTGAAATCAATGATTGTTCGTGTCATAAAGGATGGTTTGGAAGGTCTTGTGTTGAAAGATGTAAAGGTATTTGATCCATTTATTTTGATTTAAATAAAAAGCTTTTAAATACGATTTTAAGTGAATTATTGCTATTGATGTTCAGAGAACAATAATACGAAATATTGAAAACATTATCGTTTGTTTAGGTTTGCACTGACCAGTACAGTGTTACATTTATATACTTTAGGGCATCGCTATGTCCACTAAGCCAATGATCAAGGTACTCCTGTGTAATTTTTATCCCAATTTCCCATATTTCAGTTCTATTACAAGTTCGAGGACTAGCTAAGTGACTCCCGTAGTATTTGTACTTGAAATTATGACCTAACCCTAACCTGGTACACATACTACGTTCAGGTGTCCGTCATCTTGGTTCACATACTTTGGGAGTACCATTATCTGTAAAAATGACCACTGATACTGATCATGCTATTTGTATTTTAGTATGTTCAATATTTATCCAAAGGTGCATGCAGCACATTTGTTTTTAAAGTCAGTATGTTGTGTGTGCTCTCCAGCATCAATAATTAACACCTTATCTACATATCTAATGATCATGACTCATGACGTGAATACATTTAATGGGCTCGGTATTAAATTACCATGATTAGTAAAAATTTATACCTCATACTAACCTAAAGAATTTACATTCATTGATCTTTAGTTCAGATCGAAACTCAAATGGAATAATTTGGTAATTGTGTTAATTTCATTCAGAGTATTTATGAACCAGGCAAACGTCACTGGTTGAAAGTCAAGAAAGATTATTTATGTCAAGGTGCTATGGCTGACACTGCTGATCTTGTAGTATTAGGTGCTTATATTGGAACTGGAAGTAAAGGTATTTTGTATTTTTTTTCTCAGAACAAAACTTCAAGAACGCAGTCATTGTAATGTGAAATATAATGATCATACCTGACCAATCTTAGATGATTAAACGCTGATTTGCTTTGTATTGTTTGTGTGATGGCTCAGTAAGTGACACATTGGCCTGTGTAGCTTGCAAAAACAGTGAAAAAAACACTAAAAATCATGAAAAACCACCAAAAACCTTGCTTCACCACTGCTATACCAGAGCTTTTACATCAATAATCAACTGTGATAAAGATATTTAAAAACACCAAATTGAGACAACATTTTGAAATCAGCAAATTTTTCAACCCTCAAGCATGCTGCGTGTTACCAAACAGCCTGAAAGTTTGGCACTCCAGAAGTATGCGCACCAAGATGCCGCACAACCCTAACTTGGTAACCCCAACTTGGTACACATACTAGGTTCAGGTTGTGCGCCATCTTGGTGCACATACTTCGGGAGCATCGGAAATTTTCATTTGGATGAGAAATTTTTATTTAAATTTGGAGACAAATATGTGCGTTTCAATGTGACCTACTTTGCCATTCTTAGAGAATGGCTAAAATTGATGTTCGTGGGTTCAAAACTGATAAAAAAGACTGTCTCTTGATTTATATGGGACAAATGAAGTGTTACCAGTGGCAAACCCTGGGTTACCCAAACAACCTGAAAATTTTTATCTAAATGAGAAATTTTTATTTGAATTTAAAGACAAGTATGTGCGTTTCAATATGACCTACCTGGCCATTATTTCAAGAATGGCTAAAACTGAAGTTTGTGATTCAAAACTGATGTAAAAGGCTGTTTTTTGCTTTATATAAGGCTATAAAGTATGTTTGCATAATTTGTTCAATTTTTGATGGATCCTTAGTCAATTTTACCACATCTTGCACACTGGCTTTTGCACAGTTTGATTAGTTTATAATGCATCCATAAAAATGTATTTCCATGATATCAAATAACTAAACAATATTTGTGAATCGCTCCAAAATGCAAATGATATTCCCTCCTCAAGAACATCAAAACGTTGTAATAGATATTTTTCAATGACATTTTTTGGTACTCCAGAAGTATGTGCACCAAGATGGCAGACACCGGAACGTAGTATATGTACCAGGTTAGGGTTTGGCCTTTAATTTCAGGTACAAATACTACAGGAGTCACTTGGCTAGTCCCCGAACTCGTAATAGAACTAAAATAAGGTAAATTGGAATAAGATTATGGCCTAACCCTAACCTGGTGCACATTTTACGTTCCAGTGTCTGCCATCCTGGTTCACATACTACGGGAGTACCCAATTTTTTTACATTTACATTTTTTTCATATTTGAAGGTGGTCTGATGTCAGTATTTTTGATGGGAGTGCATGATCCTCACACAGATAGATGGAAAACCGTAACCAAAGTAGGGAATGGACATGATGACCAAACTATCGATAAAATTAATAAAGAATTGAAAGTTCAGAAAATACAAAAGGTAAAAAGATTTAATGTTCATTATATGTAATTGGATAAATGTGTCCTAGTTGTGTTTTAAGGAATGTAGAATGATTAGTGCGAAAATATTTCCATTGAGAACTGGTATTCAGAAAATGTGGGTGTGGGAGAAATTTTATTGGTTTCAGGGAGGAAAATAGTATCGGTACTCTCCCGTAGTTTGTGTGCCATAGGGTTAGGCCATAATTTTATTTCGATTTTCCCTATTTCAGTTCTATTACGAGTTTGGGGACTGTCTGTGTTAGCCAAGTGAATATACCCCCTGTCCATAGTCACTTACACAACTTGATGTAAATAGACGAACAAAATTAGTTACCTCCACATTGGTACACACACTTCTGTAGGGCCGTTGCTCGCGCAGGGCCTTAATTGTAGCAAAAGGCATAACTTGAAAAATACAATACCATCTACGACTCTAATATCAATCAAAACATAACAGACACCATAGCTCTTGAGTTTGACTTATCAATTTTGCTCCAATACAGGACTTCAATAGAGTACCGAAATGGTTGTTATTGAATCGTCAGTATGTTCCTGACTACATTGTCGAAGACCCAAAATCAGCTCCAGTTTGGGAAATTACTGGAACTGAATTCAGTAAATCTGATGCTCATACAGCTGATGGGATTTCTATAAGATTTCCAAGGGTGACAAGGATAAGGTGAATATTTTTATTTCTTCTATGAATAAGTCTTTTAGGGTTTGTTGTGGGACTGTATGTGTGGAATGGTATCGTGGCTAAATCAAATGTAAAGGTATTGATATATTTGCATTCAAAATAAAATGTGTGAGTTGATGAAATCGAAAATCTTAAATCAGAATGTTTATTCAAACTATGTTACCCACCACTTCATCCAGGGTGTGATAAATTGTTGGTTGTGTGTCTAGGACAGGGGTTCTCAACCTAACCCTGGGGGTTCAGGAGAATATTTCAGGGGGTACTTGGATGGCAGTCGAGTTTTTGTGTGTTGCTGTTTTTCAATATCTTTTATTACTACCAGAGGAAAATGCGTGCCGATTGAAACTGGATGACAATTGAAACATAAATTTTCCCTGATCTTGCGTTTTTGTGATTGTGACGTAAACAATGTGAAATTCACGGCTTTGCAGGAAAACTGAAATTTCCAAATACAGTGTGCTGCAAGCCTGCAAGCATTGGAGAAAGTGATATCCCTATTGAAACTTGAGAGGGTTTTCAAGAATTTATTAGTTGGACCGAGGACTAGGGCAATATCAGTAACAGCGAAATCAAATTTAGTTTCATCTGGTCAATAAATTGTTGTTTCAACAAATTGTTAGTCGATATATCACAACCTTGTTCGGTGTCAGATTACCGGGGGTTCGCGTTGATTGTTTCGTGACTCGGGGGTACTTGACAGAAAAAAGGTTGAGAACCCCTGGTCTAGGAGGATGTGAATGTGTGTGATGCATGAAAATAATTTTGCTCGATTTGATATAGAATTTGGAAACTGTGTTTGTATGTGTAAAAAGCGTGCGTGCATGTTTAAGTATATATGTGAAATGCATCGGTGTATATGTGTAAAAAAGTATGATTGTTTGTATGAAATGCATCCTTCTTAATAAAACTTGAGTTTTCTCTCCCTTGATATAATCACTTTTTGAGTGCAATAACTATGTCTGTTTTGCACAATTTGTTCTCGTCGTTGCACCAATTTTTACGTAGAGTAAGTCGCTCAAAGCAGATTTAGATGATAAATAACTGTAATTTGACTTGATGAATACTTTTACATGCAGAGATGATAAAGACTGGAAAACAGCGACGAATCTTCCAAGATTGAAAAAACTTTTTGCAAAATCCAAGGAAGAATCTGATATTTCTGCTTTACTTGATAAAAAATCAGGAACAAGTACTGTGAAAATCGAACAGAGATCTATGAAACTAGATGATGGTGAGTATGGTTATTTTGGTACTCCAGAATTGTGTGTAACAATATGGAGGTAACTAATTTTGTTCGCCCACTTTACATCAAGTTCTGTAAAGGGACTGAAACCTATGGGCAGGGGGTATATTCAATTGGCTAACACAGACAGTCCCCGAACTTGTAACAGTATTAATATAAGGAAAATCGGAATAAAAATATGACCTAACCCTAACCTGGTATACATACTACGGGAGTACCGTTATTTTTATGCGACATTTTCACTTTTCAATTTTGATTGAGGCTACTTATATAACCTATGTATCAACTGATATGCAATGTGGGTGTGATGGCCTGATGTCCCCAAATTTTTTGACACATTCTTCCCTTTGTCTGTTTTGATCCTTATTTCTCCCTCACCTTGCATCAAAGTTGTGTTTCTGCTATTTCTTCAATCTTTAATAGTTCCTAATCTAGTGTTGTGTGCATCTGACACGACATGTTTACAGTTCGCATCGCATCCTAAATATGAAAAACTTATAATATTATGGTCACATTTAATAAAGGAGCTTCTTCATCATCACCACTGAAACGAAAACGAGACCCCGGTACAACACCAGTCAAGAAGATCCCAAAAATCAAACAAGAAAACGGTGGAAAAGCTTCGTTTCTACATGACGTATTCACCGACATGAAATTTGCGATATCTTCTTCAGTAAAAGATCAGGAAAAAATGAAAAGATATATTGTTGCTTTTGATGGCGACATTGTTGAGGTACGTATCCTTAGAGATTTGTGATATAACCAGACCACATGGACATTTTGGCATAGGAGTGCTCCAGAAGTGTGTGTACCAATATGGAAGTAACTAATTTTGTTTGCCTACTTTACATCAAGTCGTGTAAACTGTAAAGGGACTGAATTTTATGTGCAGGGGTAATATTCACTTGGCAGACAGTCCCCAAACTAGTAATAGAACTAAAATAGGGAAAATCTGAATAAAATTAGAACCTAACCCTAACCTGGTACACAGACTACGGGAGTACCCTTTAAAGATCATTTTGTGTTACCACTGGTAACTTACCAGTACTTGTTATTCTTAGTGATTGCATGGACATATTGGCATTCTTCACATCATGACATGTTAGTGGTTTGGCATCATTTGAAAAGGTTTTGAGAACTTGCGATTTAAGGATAGATTTACAAGTGCAATTTGTTCGCTTTTGATTTTATCTTAAGCTGAATTCACATTTTTATACATGAATACGCTTGCTCACACTCCTGCTTGATAACTTTTAAGCATCTGTTATTTGATCTAGTCTTCTGCTAAAACTAGAAATATATGTTGAGTATTTAATAGGTATGGTACTCTCGTAGTATGTATACCAGGTTATGGTTAGGCTATAATTTTATTCCCATTTTCCTTATTCTAGTCCTATTACGAGTTCGGAGACTGTTTGTGTTAGCCAAGTCAATATACCCTCTGTTCATAGGTTTTAGTCCCTTTACACAACTTAATGTAAAGTAGGCGAACAAAATTAGTTACCTTCATATTGGTACACATACTTCTGGAACACCTGTAGTTGTCGTTGTCGCAATTCTAAGGTAAACTAGATATATGAATCTCAATGTAGGATAGGAATTTTATATTCATCTGACTCTGAGTAATAAAATGATAAAACGATTCAAACAAAAGTTCTCTTTCTGTTCCTGGACACGATCAGTTATAACCAGGTAAACATCCAAATGTATGGGTGGGATGGACACGCGGGAATTGGAAATATTTTATATTCCTGTTATCTTCAACTGTTAACGACTTTTTTACATTTCTCTCATAGGACTACGATGTTTCATCTGCAACACATACAATAGGAAAGATAGATTCAGATGATATTCCTTCTGATTGTAAAACGTTGACTGAAGATTATATTTGGACTTGCATTAAAAAGAAGAAATTAGTTGCTTAGATTAAATTTTGTAATATGATTTGCTTTCATATCAATATGTACATTGTAGCAGCCTAGCAGGACCCATTATTGAAGTCACGTTTGAAATATTATTTTATATATTTTGATTATATGAACTAAGTCTGTAACACTCGTTGTATGATAAAACATATATGTCCATCGGTCTTTCGGCTTAAATAAGTCTTTCAAATATAATAATAAATTTCAAACATTGGGTTTGAAAAAAAAATTTCAACCATTCAACTTTTTTTGTTTATAATCTTCCCTCTTCATCAAAATTGTTTTTGTTTCGTATTCGCCATTATTCAACTGTTCTTTCTCTTGGAACATTTTCTTCTGTATGATTATCATGGTATAGATTTTGTTTACCTAAACTGTAACATACATTGTATGATTAAAGGTATTTTTTTGAGCCTTTTTTTGTTCAAATATGTTTAATATAAAACTAATGTGTCTGAAGGAAAATGTTCAACTTGATTCGATGTTTGCAAATCTGTTTTATCAATTCTCTCCCTTTTCAGTACTTTTTATCATGATTGTTTTTGTTCCCTATTCACCCTTTTTTTTTGATATGTGACAGAATTTTAATCTAATTTAGTTACTTTAAATATTTAGTATACAAGCTTACATGATAGTTGCTGTGTGAAATCCTGTACCATATATACGTTTCACAAGTGGTTCTACATGTGACCTGTTTACTTTTGAGTAGAAGGCTCGTGGTCTAATCAGGCTCCAAAAAAGATTATTTTTTATGAATACTCAATTAGTTCTGAAAATCAATATTACTGTTGAACTCGGAGCCATTGTCAAGTTTGGTAATCAACCCAATTTGTCAACTCATTTGTTATTCCTAGTTTTATGTAAACGACCTGTGGATGTAGCACAAGGAGAAAGGCCCCTCAGTTCAATACATAATAATGTTTTTAATTCTACATTGCCTCTCCTGCCTTGTTAAATCATTATTACTGCGACTCTCGCCCTTATTAAGTTCGATAATCAACTCCATCCCTCATGTTAGTCAACTCGTACATTGCACTGCGATACCTCAGATTTCTATAATAATGTATGTAACCAAGTTTTATTTTTGTTCAATTATGATTCTAGTTTGATTTTCATGCACCTGATATATTCAACATAGAAAATAAATATGTACGTGATGATTATGGTCAAGTTCAACCTATGCTGACAGAGTGCTTTTTCAGGTTTGAAGGTAGTTGAGAGTGAGATACCATTGTTTCAGAGAGAATCTATTGGACCAGTCATGTTATATGGTTTTATTATTTCAGTATTCACCTCATTCCACTGGCGTCTGGTGAGATAGCTAAGTTAGGATCTTTTATAGGTTAGGCTGTAATTTTATCCCGATTTAAGTTCTATTACGAGTTTGGAGACTGTTTCAGCCAAGTGAATATACCCTCTGCCCATAGGTTTTAACTTGATGTAAGATGGGCGAACAAAATGAGTTACCTCCCGATAAAAAGACTATTTGCTTTGCAATGAATGTATCTTCAAATTGATGACAAACACTGCCAAAACGTCATTTTACACAGAAGGTTGTAAACAAGCACTCGCTATCTCCCCCAAAGTCTTTTAACATATGAACAAGTTCTGTTAGTTTTTATCTGACCATTTTTATCAGAATCTCATACATTTGGCTGTCTGGTCTTAGACATTATAATGCTGTCATGTATCAACATCTGTTACATGGATGTATAAAAAGAAATGACATTTCAAACAGCCTTTCTTGTCAGTAGTTTGCTAAAGTGGCTAAACATCACACACCGCTATACTTTTTGGTACTCTCGGAGTATGTGTACCAGGTTACGGATAAGCCATAATTATTTTTCTTGTTTTAGTTCTATTACGAGTTCGGGGACTGTCTGTGTTGGCCAAGTGAATATATCCCCTGCCCATAGGTTTCAGTCCCTTCGTACAACTTGATGTAAAGTAGGCGAACAAAATTAGTTGCCTCTATATTGGTGCACATACTTCTGGAGCGTCCTCTACTTGATGCATATGCAATCAGTGGTCCTTGCTGAGTTATCAAGAAACTAACTAGATGAGTGGTTGCTGTTGTAGTGAATAAACTTAATAAATTTTCAAAAATTTTGATACATCTCCACCCTATCCGCAAATCCTTAATTGATTTCTAAGCATAGTAGTTTAATTGCTTAGATCAGATCCCATGTTGGTTTCTACAATGCATGAGAAAACATGCTATGTGATTCACATGTTCGGATGCCATTGATGAGATTATATCCAAACAGTGTTTTTTGTTGTGGTTGGGTAATTTTTCTGACAAGGGCCAGGTGCTTCCAGAATTTTTCCAGCAAAAGAAAACTGTTCGAATATAATTTGCCTCTTAATAGATGATGAAACGTTTAAATGATGAAGAAATATAACGTCATCAAACGGAAACGTCATAATTTACCGTTTGGCAAATAATGAAACTGTTCAAACCAGCTTGTAAAAAGTCTGACCTGGCTTATTTTCGAGCAGTCCGTCAAACAAAATTAATTTTCTCTTTTTGTGTTAAGTGAGATATTTTATTGAAATCATCATGAAAAAGAAACTTTACTTTGTGAGCAATTTTTGTTGTAAATACAACAAAGAAAAAATAACATAAGAATAATAGTAATATGCTGTATTCAATGGTAGAAGAATATTTTTATTACAAGTCCGAGACTGAAATAATCTGGCAACAGTTAAGAGTTGGATTCTGCTAAACCTCTGATAATGAGAGGATTTAATTAACGATTGGGCTGAGAATAACCATGCGAGCATTGAATTAATCATGATTTTGGTTTGGATATGAGTACATATAACACATTAACGTAATGGACCTAAAGTGTCGATTGGTTTGCCAGTATGAAATGTTCAAATAATGCTAATAACATGCAACACTGACTGAAAGTACTCAATTTCGATTGGAATCATAAAAATTCAATATATCTATGAAAATTGAAACATAGAATCCAGCAATAACACACAAAACAGTACAACACACAAAAAAAAGAATTTCATTCCTATTTTTCCTATTTAATTGAGTTGAGCATGAAATTGAATAATTCCTGTGCAAGGACGGGCACCCCGGAAGTATTTGTATCAAGATGACGCACAACCCTAACCTGGTACACTTACTATGTTCAGGTTGTGCGACATCTTGGTACGAATACTTCAGGAGTACCTAAGGACGTCTAATAAAGAGCATCATTCAGACATTTATCCACAAACAAGAAAACACAACAAAACAAACAAATCAGTTGTAATACTGTTGAAATATGTACTCAAATCAATATGTTATTGAAAGTACAGAACTTCAATATATCCCCAAAAACAAAAGATTGAAACATACAATACATATTTAGCAACAACAGACAGGATAGTACAACACACAAAACAGACTTTCTTTTATATTTTTCATGTCCAAGTTTATCCGAGTTAAGCACAAACTTTGGTGCTCCCGAATTATGTGTAGCAAGATGGCGCACAACCTGAACATAGTATGTGTACCCGGTTACGTTTCAAGTTGTGCGTCATCTTGATACACTTGCTTCCGGAGCGCCCAAAATTGAATAATTTAATTAAAGCGACCTTTGATCAAAAGCGTCATTCACGGCACTTATCTAGAAAGTGGAAGACAAATTAGTTGTAAAGGACAAGACAAAATGATGAAAACAAATAAGAAAATTTCACAATATCATATAGTTCGAGATTTACAGAAGTATTAGTGCTCGCTTTTATCAAAAATATTCATGATTTGATGCCAAATAACGAACGAATAAGTTTTATTTTCATATTTTTATATGAGAAGATTATGTACCAGAGTTTTATTGACAACAATATTGGGTGTGTGCTATATTTACTTTGGTACAGGTATGCGCATGTTAATGTCAAAGCCAAAATTTGACGACTTGCCTAGAACAGTGGTTCTCAAACTTTTTAAGCCGCACCCTCTTTTTAGAATTAAGATTAAGAAAAACTAGCTAACAATAAGCTACAATACAAATACCAGATAGGGAAGCGAAAGTACCGGTATGTGTTATTCAAAAAACATGTTGAAATATATAGAAGGAGTGTAATTATCCAGAATAAGGCGAACAGGATCAAATCTAACAAATAATTAGATTTTTAATCATCTTCACGCCCCCGCAAAAAATTGTCTGCACCCACCTTGTGGAGTGTGCCCCACCGTTTGAGAACCACTGGTCTAGAAATCTCAAATGAATGTATTATAGAATTTCTAGTTCAACTAATTCCTTTAAAATAGTTTGAGATTTCTTTTTAGGCTGATTAAGTCTGCATGGAGAAAAATTAGAAAATGGATGGATTTCAGCCCCCAAATCTATTCCATGCTAAGATTGAGATTAAACTCAATTGATAAAGTATAACAATGTGATGATTTCTAGATACAACAGCAAAAAATATGATAAATAAAAAATAATAGTAAAAAATTTTAGGCACTAATATGGTTTATTTCTTCAGCAAAAATAATTTTAGAAAAGTGATGAATAGTTTGTTAAGGATTCTAATTTTGTTTTTTGATCGAGTCTAGTAGAATTTTTTTTCTAATTTTGATTTTCTATGTATTTTTCAAAATAATTTTTGCTGAAATTCGTTTTTCATATACTATGTACATAAAAATAAAAACAGGCACGAGACAAAAATATTAAAATACTCGATTTATCGTTGGCCTTTTTATGCTGATTTTCATATATGCTGGAGGGAATAGATATTCTTCAATAAGGTGATACAGGTATGTAGGTAACCAACATTGCAATGAAGTATCAAACTAATTTTAACTATTCAATTCTAAACTATTAAAACAATTACCGTATTACACATTTTTGGATCCCTTTATGTGTATTTACCAAGTTTATCTGGGAATAGCTAAAAAATTAAACTTCTGCTGAAATTTATCATTAAAGTCACTTTTATACATATTCAGAGTAGACTTATATTATAATTTCTGAAATTAAGTCTACAAATATGCATTTTAACAATGTTGTTATGAAAGTAATTCAACCTCCAAATATCTTATAACAACAACATAGTGCAGAATTTTGGTCCAAATAATGATCTGTGTAATGGATGGACATAGAGATTGTAATTGCATTGTTTAGAAGTAAGTGAGGTTCGCTGATGGAGCAATAATTGTTAAATAAATCATTGAAAACTTGGCACCTTAATTTGCAAATGGGAACACTGTGTTTACTTCTGTTTTTTCTTTTCTTGTTTTCTAGTTTTATTGATTCAGTATGGCAACCTTCAAAGTGTACTTCATTGCAATATCATTATCATCTATGGTTGTTCATTACATGTTTGAATCTAAAGTACTTTTGCACAGACTTGGCATCTACTGACTCTTGTTCGAAGGTTGCCAGCTTTTAGAGTCTCTTTTTTAGGTGAAGTAAATTGCTCTTCCTTGCTGATTGTCGTCAGCCAATATGAAAATTGGTTATTGTAGAAAAAGCAATGTCCTCGAGCACCATTACACTCTATGAACGGTGTTGCTCGGAAATCTTCTAGGCAAGAACCTGGACTTGATAGCGACTGACCACTTCCATCTGCTCCTGATGCTGTGTGCTGTAGTTCAAAAAATTAAAACATGACTTTTTGAAATCTGCCATTGTACAAAAAATTCAGGAAGTTACAAAAACTTCAGATGTATATATCACATTGACTTTAAATAAAGTATATTTTACATTAAGTTCTATTTAGACAGATTTAGATTGGTAGTCAACATCAATCACCTCATTTTTAATAATAATATGGTTGAACCCATATTCAGAAATTTGTTTTTGCTGGCGACTGCCATAGATTGAACTAACAAAGTAGCTCTATACATCAATTACCCTTAGCTTGGATCTTTGAGTAGGGGATAAAAAAAGAAAATACAACAATATGAAAGTTTAAAAGGAAATTGAAATAACGAATATACATAATTTGTACTTACCATTACAAAACTGTATCCAAACCAAAGTCCTTTCCATCCATTTGGACAATCAGGTATCATATCACTCTGACTATGGAACGCCATTGCTATTGATTGTGATTCACAAACTGTGCATCTGCTGACGTACTCTTCAAGCTAAAAATGTAATTTCAAGTTTTATAGAATCTGTTTGATTTCATGTTTATACGGATGTCCTATTAATAACTTGAACCCTATTCTAATTTGCTATGTAGAATTTTTGTCAGCCAACAGCATAACACATTCATCTGACTAAATCTATCTCATCAAATTGAAGCTTCAAGCAAAGAATAATACTTGTTCAGTGTCAAATAGGGTTCAAGTATAACGGCTTTGTATGCACCGTATCTCCTTACTCATACCAATATCCTGTTGTAAATTATTATAATTTTCTTCTTATATAATCTTCCAACAGGAAGACACATTTGTCTATTTGAAACTGTATATTCTATATGCAGATTTAAAGTCCCAACTATCATTGCCTACCAGGTTAAATTACCATTGCCAAGTTATAAAAATAACTAAAATATGTAGGTATGTTTAATCACAGTGATCTTGTTTAAAGGATTCATTTAATAATGAGCAACAATTTTGATTTTTGTTCAAACAAAATATGCATATTTCTAGGATGTAAATAATTTAGAAATATAAAATTAAAAATTGCCGCCCTGTGGCCCTTCTAGGGGCCATAGGCCCCCAGGTTGGGAACTACCGGTCTAACTCATCATCATCATCATCATCAAAATTTCCTGAAAAAATTATTTTAAAAACTTACCCCAGTTTCCACAGGCATCATAGGTATCGGTAATGTTGTTGCAAGCCAGTATGATTTATCATTTCTGCTGGCATAATTACAAACTTCATTCACATTGCAATACAAGAATGGCATTGTGTTGAAACGACGAAGACACGACCCTGTTGAACCTGAAAAATGGAAAGTGATTATAAAAGAGTAAAGACTTTCGTCTTCTGACTAACCTGGTAAACACACCATGGGGATAACCATAAGGACAACTACTTCCACAAGCCAAAACAAACCTAAATCTTGTCCATGAGCTCGTTCACTTCCGGACAGATACAGCATACTGAACCCAGACCACAGTTTAGAAGTTCCACCAGGACATGTTGGGACATCAACTGTTTGACTATGTCGAACTATTAAATGACCAGCAGGCCTGAATTTTCCTGGTTTTCCAGTTCTTCCCTTTGTTCCTCGTGCTCCATCGAGTCCTGTGTTGTGAGAATTAAAAAAATTGCAAGGTTTTGTATATATATAGTTGTTAATATACTATTTACTATCGATCTATCACACAGGCATTAGGACATTGAATGCATCTTGGGTGCAATTCTCTGAACCAGTGTTGGAGTTAAGTCGGGTCTTGGGCCATCCAGAAAAGTTTGAATCCGAAATTTTAAAGTTTTCAAAAATTGTTAGAGGTATATATCAGAGATTTGAAGTGTAAATAAATATGTTACTCTCTCGTTCACATCTATCTTAGGTTGAGCTTATTATTATGTGAAATATCTGACATATATTTGCAAAGTGCTTTGTCAAATCAAATAACAGTAGGATTCTTCAAATTTTGTAATAAAGAAGATATGGCAATATGCAAAGTCATTGTCGTATGCGGACAATGACAAGCGTTGTGGAGAAGTAGACTCATATATCATTCGAATCCAAAAGTGAGTCAGTCGGTCATCGAGTCTTCCAGTGAGCTGATGACGGGTCACAGTCCGGCGCGGCGGTGGCTCAACGGGCTAAGCGTTAGGAATATGCTCGCCACCGCACCTCTAATCACTCTGCATGGGTTCAGGTTCGAATCCCATGCAGGGATGGTTATGTGTAAGAGGATTGCTGGACTCCTCGCCGTTGTTGGGTGGTTCACGTAACCGCTGGTCGGTTACGGCGTCCTCCACCACCAAGTCCATGCTTCCGAAAACAAACAATTTAACTAATCCCATACCCGACTTGGAATGGTAACCGGACGAGAGGCCGTGGTTCGCCATATGGATAAACCGTCCTATCGGCTTTCCTCTACCCGGGGATAAATATGTGAATCCTATTCTATCCATTTAGATTACTCATGATACTCAAGTTACAAGTCTTTGATGAAAAGTGACGGGAAACCAACTCGAGTTGAGTCAATGTAAATAGTCAAATAATAACTAAGTTGCTCTGAACAATTTGTGATTATATCAAGAAGCATGTTCAAGTCATTTGTACAAATCAATATTTCATATAAAAAATCCATGATGCTCTCATTTTAATTTTTCAAATGAACAGAATATTATTTTTATCCCTGACACAAACTTACCAGCTGGTCCTTGTGGTCCAGTCAATCCTGTGGGTCCATCGCTTCCTCTTTCTCCTCTTGGCCCCGGTATTCCATTGATTCCATTTCTGCCTGGAATACCTGGCTCTCCCTGTGAAAGAAATGTTTGATTTTTCATCTAGTTACTAAGATAGGATTTTCATATTTATCCTGGGGGATAGGATATAACACGACTAATCCATACGACATATCACTGCCAGTTAGTTTCAACCAGTTACCAGTCAATGTCTATTATAAGATTAGTTAGCCAGTTATCTGTTTCTGATGGTAGAGGAAGCTGTAACCGGCCAGCAGTTGCGTAAACCACAATTTGGCGATGAGGTGTTCAGAAATACCCTCGTATTTTAGCGCTGAGGTGCCCAGAAATCCCTCATACATAATTAGCTCTCACAGGATTCGAGGAAGCGAATCCACACAAAGTAATCTGTGGTGTGATGTCAATGGTTGAGGTTCATTCCATATATCTGTAAGCTTCTCTGTTGTCATATACTTAATATTAAACCGACCTTAAATCCTTCGATACCGCTGGGTCCAGGTTCCCCTTCCAATCCCATTAAACCTGGCAACCCTCGTCGTCCTTTTTCTCCTTTTGGACCAGGAGGAACATTTTCTGGTTCTAGTGATCGACCTGGTGGTCCTGCGTCACCTCGTTCTCCTGGTCTGCCAGGGAATCCTGGTCTTCCAATTTGTCCTTGCAATCCTGCATTTCCTTTTGCACCGTCTGGACCTTGAATTCCAGTGAGACCTGACATTCCTTTCATGCCTGAGTAACAGATATGAATAAATTGAGAAAACAGTGTTGTCACCTTAATTGGGAAAACATCACACTTTAGAAAACTATGTATTCTTGCAATTATGGCTCTTCTACTTATTCCACAGACCATCTATCTACACAAAATTGATAAAGATTATGTTCGAATGAAAAAAAAAATATTAATAAAAGATTAGATATATCCAGTGTTGCGGTATAATCTCTCAAATACAAATTTGCAAGTGCTTAGAGTAAAAGTTTCTGAAATCAAAGGATCTAAATTTTTAATACCACAGAGTGAGTTAAGATACATGATACCTCGAGTAGTTATTCGGCTCTGGGTGGAAAACAGCAAATCAAAAACTCTCATGCCCTGCTTTACTTGTTTGAAGGGTAATAAACAATATTTTGCTGATATGTCATTATATTTTTTGCATTGAAGATTCAGAACACAAGATATATTATTGGGTACTCCTCAAGTATGCGTACCAAGATGGCGGACACTTGGCTGGTCTTCGAACTCGTAATAGAACTAAACTAAGGTAAATTGGAATAAAATTATGGCCAATTCTAACCTGGTACGCACACTACATTCTGTTGTCTGCCATCTTGGTAAGCATACTTCAGGATTACCTTACCTAATATTGTATGGTCATGTATGAAATGTTTTAATGTCAAGCAACCTGTTGGGATTATTTTAGTATTTATTTAATTATACCTTTGTCTCCTCTCTCTCCAATATCTCCAGGAGATCCACTTTCTCCAGGTGAACCCGGGCGTCCATCTCTTCCTGGAAGTCCAGGATTACCATTCATTCCCCTCATTCCTCTTTCTCCCGCATTTCCAGGCAATCCTATTTCTCCTTCTGGGCCAGGCGGGCCTAGAAAATGAAAGAAATATTGTTGTGACTTGTTTCAAATATGCATAATAGATATAAATACATCTTATAGAATGAATTTGATTTTTTGTCAGAATGAACTAAGTATATGCAATGTAAAAACTGAATGAACTTGAAATTTGTCAGAGTGAGCTGAGTATATGCAATGTAAAAACTGACTTCAACATCTAAATATACGAAATTCTAGTGAATAAAGGTTTGGTTGATAGTCGGTTACTGCATTGGCTTGCTTGTTGGAAATCAAACATTGCATGAATTTGAAATACAACCAGCAAAACAAAAACCTTAATTGAAGGCATACATATTCTTTGTAAATTGTAAAAGGATTGAATAGATTACCTGGTGGTCCGGGCAATCCTTGCCTTCCATTGAGTCCTGCTTCACCTTTTTCACCTGGGAAACCTGGCAACCCTGCATCACCAGGGAAACCTTGTCTTCCTCCTAATCCAGGAAGTCCTGCAATACAAAAATATTTTAGTAATGAGTAATGATAAATAAAAAGGAGGATGGGATTTTCATATTCATCCAGACGAAGAGAAAAGCTGGCGAGACGGCTTAATGATATGGCATACCATAGCCGTTTGTCTGGTTACCAGTCCATTATGGTATGGGATTAGTTAGTCAGTTTTTATTTGTTCCAGATGCATGGACTTTATGATAGAGGAAGCCGTAACAAAATAATGGTAATATAAACTATCCCCACGCTTAGGACACGCTTGGGAGCCCACAAACTTAATTACATCACACATGTTTCGAACCTGCAAAGCGACGCAGGGTAATCAGAGGTGTGATGGGACCTCTTCCCTTTACTTCCAAATTTACCATTTTGGACAGTATATAAAAAAAGAACATAACAGGTACGTAAAAATGTAATGCACATACCAACATCACCCCGATCTCCTTGACGTCCCTGAGACCCAGATAACCCAGGTAATCCACTTTCTCCTGGTGGTCCTTGTAGTCCTAAAAATTAAATACCAACTGTGTTATTGTCAAGTGTAGGTATAAATCTGAAATATGAATTGTGATCTAGACTAAATGCAATCAAATACTGGGTGTCACAATATAAATGAAACCTACAAAATTGGTAATCGAATTGATGGGTTCCATTTATTTTGTGACACCCTGCATTGATTTTTCTTCAAGAATTGAATTTTGGTAGATATGCTATGTTGTTGCTTTTTTCAGCACAGTATGACATCACTGACCAAGTTCCAAAAATTAAATATCTAACGCAATATTTTAGTTCATAATTTACAAACAATAACAAGATATATAAGAAATAGAAAAAATGTCTGTAAAACATGAAATATCTCATGTATTTATTTCTTATATTACACCTCACTAAGTTGTTTCCCTGACAGAATTGACTTGATTTTTTTTTCAATTGCTTTCTACAGATATCTCTGTCGCAATAATAACCCATTTTTAACTAATATTGTATCAGAATGAGATTTTCATTTTATTCCATAAGACAGCTTAACCATGAGGCAAACAACAATTTCGCGTATAGTTAACAGTCAAGGACGGTTATGTAAACAGGTAATCAGTTATCCATTTCAGATGTATGAACGTAATCAGTAAATTGTGATTTGTGACTCTTTTATCGCAGACTTCTTCTACCAACCTGGTAAACCAATGCTTCCAGCTGGTCCAGGAACGTCAGAGAACCCTGGGCGTCCTTTTGGTCCGTTTGTTCCATCCGTTCCATCTAGTCCATCCAGACCAGAAATACCTGCATCACCTATGGTGGGAACAGCAAAATATTGATAAATTGAGCTCAGATATGGCTAGAAAAAGTGTGTTTTATTGAATTTCATTTGGAACATCACTGGTTTTTAATAGGAGTTCAAAATTTTCAAACTGAATATTCAGCCAGGGCAATACTATATTTTAAAAATTTGCAGAAAGAAAAAATTGAAATCCACTGTGTCTGCAGTATGTTATGATACCAAAGTTACATATTCGTGTTTTATCTTTTTTTTAATATTTGTTCGTGTGTGTTATATGAGTAAACTGGCACATGTGTTTCTATGTGTTTTAAACCCCCTCAGAGGTTTTGCCAGTTTTCCTGATTTTCCCAATCTAGTGTGTGTTCAGTGTGTCGTTTTGCATGTTTTCTTGTTTCAGGGAAATCAAAATAAAGTTATACTCATACTTTACTGAAATTTCCAGTTCAGTTTTAACTTAATTTTTAATACTTTGAGTGATATCTGTTTTGAACATAAGATTTTAGGAGAATCAAAAACAGGATGGAAGATTCGGAACAAAAATTGTCCAATTGAGAGAATAATTCAAAATTAGGATCATCTTATTTAGGTGAATACATAAGAACTTGCTTTTGTATAGTATTTTAATGATAAAAGTAGCACTTGCAGTGCTCAGTAACCAGCGATGAAATGGCAAATCAGTAGATTAATGATTTGAATCAACAACTAACATACTGTAACATACTGATTGCCAAACAAACTACACAAACTCAATAATATACAATATGCTCACAAGCTTGCAGCATATGTCATATTCTAATAACTTATTGTTCATGATATATTATGAATCATGAGTGAATTTTGACACAAAATGTTCAGGTCATATCCTGTACAATCAAAATAGACAAGTATTTTTGCACTTTTGATTGGATATATAACAAAATTCGTAATTTGAGGTTGACACCATTTACCTTTTTCTCCTTTCGTCCCAGTAGGTCCTGACAAACCAGTTCTTCCATTCAAACCATCAATTCCATTTCTACCTGGAAATCCTACCATTCCCTTTTCACCTGGAGTGCCTGCATTAGATTAAAAAATATTGAGTTGTTTTTGCAGTTGCAGTTTTTGTCCGTATTAAGACTCTTTACTTAACATTTGATCTGATTAGGAGAAATGATAAAATTCATGATTTATCCTGTCCAGAAGTAACAAAAACCTGGCATCACAATACAAAGACAGCCATTACCCATTGATTTGACACTCAGATGTAATAGTTGTTTGTCTACAATTAATTAAACAATATAGTAATAGACCAGGGGTTTCACAAACTGGGCCCCCTGAATCCCATAAGGGAAGCACAGAGCTGTTCCAAAATCACAAAAACCTGGCATCACAAAGTCATCAGGCCATAATACGAAAATTTAAAAAGAAACAATTTCCCAATCTCCAGGGACCCATGATCTGGACTTTAGATATGCCATTTTTCTCAATGCAATTCTGACATATGGCTATTTTCTATAGTTATTGATAAATATGTGTTTTTCATTGTGTGTGAACGCTCAGCAATATGTCTTAGTGACGTATTCTATGTTTTTCGTAATTCATTTGTTGACAGGACCAAAAAAGTCGCATACAATTGCATATCACCCATTGACTCCCAAGTGTTCGAGATTCGATTTGAAAAAAAATAGTCGTTTCGATTCTAAAATCATTAGGTATTTGAAATTGCCCAGCCCTACACATCATACAATTTGAAATAGCAAACTAATAAAGCATGTTTCAAACCCTAAGCACATTTTACAACCAACTTCCAATATTGCTTTTAACCAGTTGCAAAGAGTAAAATTAATTACCTGGAGGGCCAGTGAATCCTCTATCTCCTCTAATGCCCCTGGTACCAGGCATACCAGATATACCAACGATACCAGACAGACCTGGTCTTCCCTTTGTACCTTTATCCCCGTTCATTCCATTGAGTCCGTCTAGTCCTGCCAGACCTGGTGAACCTTCGGGACCATCTCTGCCAGGCTGACCTGCGTATATATAATGAAATAGTGATTTAAGTTGAACTATAATGCGAATCAAAGATTTTTGTTTGGGTTTCAGTCTAGGCCTATTATTGGAATATCTGACCCAGTGGTTTCCAACCAGGGTGCCGCGGCACATTAGTATGCCGCAAAAGATTTTGGTGTGCCGCGAAGACATTTTTGAATTTATTTCAAGTGATTCCAATCCCTTGATATCCACAAGAATTACCTCACGGCTCTTGCTAACAAACAGAAACGACAAATTTGAGGAGTCGTTTTCTCAGGTATTTGGGTATTGTTTTAATTCTAAGTTTTGCATAATGCGCGCCAACACTGTTTCGTAAAATTGGAAAGGTCAAACAAGGTAACAAATTATTGAGCGAATTTTTTTCTAAATTTGACCAAGGAATTATTATTTGACTAGTGCCGATTTATTGAATTATCATGAAATAGAGGTTTTAGTATTTCTCTGAGGACGAGATGTTGATATAACAGTTGAACTATAATGCGAATCAAAGCTTTTTGTTTGGGTTTCAGTCTAGGCTGATCATTGTAATATCTAAACCAGATGAATGATTCAAATGCATTGACATAGATAACAACATTTATCATATATTTAGAAACTTACTAAGAGAGGTAATTTTGATATTAAACATAGGCTTTAAAGTTAGATCAGGACTTACAGACAGCATTACCTACACAACTTTTTATCTTAGTATTAGATTGTGAATCTTTTCCACTACAACGCTTCAAAATTACGGGAGTCCAGACTTCCCAGAAAATATATTTCACTGTGTGACTAATTATATTTCATTTCCCACAACTTTGAGGTTTTAGAGATCCAAATGAATCCAAGTTTAATAATCGGAATTCGCGAACACAGACTGTGGTCTACCAGTTGAATAGTCTTACTTTATAATATAAGCAATCTCCGTGGTCAAAAATGATGTTTTTCAAACAGTATCCAGTTTAGTTCAGATTATGGAAAAATGTTACCTGTTTCTCCAGAAGGACCAGGCAATCCATTTGGTCCAGGTCTACCAACATCGCCCTTTTCCCCTGATTCTCCAATCAAACCCGGCAACCCTGGTTCTCCAGTTTCTCCGTCTTCGCCATTCAATCCATCCAATCCAGGTCTTCCTGGCAATCCACCGGTTGATGGTCCTGCTTCACCTGGTTCTCCTTTTTTACCCGGATCGCCTTCTTCACCTTTCTTACCAGTCATACCAATCATTCCTGAAATATGTTATGAAGTGTTTCCAGAATAAATTTTTATGTTGAGAAAATAGGGAAATATTTTTGAACATCTAATTCAATGTAAATAAGAATAATATGATCTCTCTCTATTTTTTAATGCAGAGGTTGGCAGGGAAATGACATGTGCTTTCCCTTAAACTAGGGGTGTGCAACCTTTTTTTATTCGTGGGCCAAATACAAGTAACTGGGTGAAGCCGCGGGCCGCACCTTTTTTTAATTTAGGCTTTCTGGTAGTTGCAAGCACAAAAATTGCCTATATTTGCTCTTGATCTTACGGCATTATTAGGGGTTCTTGCAGAAATAGTAGATTTAAAACGCATAAACTTCTGAAGAAACCGCTTTTAAATTTAAATTTTTTGTCACACCGACTTCAAACGAATGCAGTGAGAAACACGTTTTTTTGAATTAAAAGTGAAGTTTTTCGAGACACACAAAAAACTTGTTTACGGATCGTAGATTCTCAACCAATGTTTTAGTGGAATGAGATTATGTTATTCTCATTTAACGCTACAGTACTATCTCATCCAAGCATACTTGTACAAAATGCTACATTTGGGTCTGAAAAAAATATTCTATCAATCAAAACAAAAAATATTGTCGACAGTTCTAATTGTAAAATATTATTGATAGAAAGACAACCACAAAACAATTTAAAAAAAAAAACATAATTAACTGGCAAAAAGTTTGAGGTAACAGGCTGGGTGGTGTCGATAAGGTCATCAGATTTGTATACTGAAAGTGCTTCAGGTGGTATTTCACATTTGCAAGCCCTCATTCATAATCATAAATAAATATTGAAAATGGAGTTATTTTCAATACACCATGTGAAATCATTTGGGATGGTTTAATCATAATTATAAAAATAAATGAACCAGATTTTGTCAAATCATATTGCAAGACAGAATAAGAAATCGAAAGTAAAGAGATTACTTATCCAATGTGCTCAGACAATTAAGAAAATTCAATTAAATCAAACCTTCTAGAGTAGTGATTCCCAAAACGCGGCCCACGGGCCAATTACAGCTCGCGAAACGATTTAATATGTCTCGACGAACTTAAGTGAAATAGCTTAAGCCATTGTTTTTTTTTGGTTTTTGCGATCTAGATACGACCAATTGTTACTATCATTATCCAAGTATCACAGTTTAAGCATGTGTAAATTCGTAAGAATTCAATTATACGGCCATCTCAATTACACGTACTGATACATGTATTGGCTTGTTGCGAGCGCTCGCTTCCTCTGGCCCGCGAATATCCTTCCGCTTCTCATTTTGGCCCCTAGTCAATCAACTTTGGGAACCACTGTGCAAGAGGCTGAAAATTTTACCTGGTAGTCCTGGTAAACCTCTCTCCCCTGGCGCACCAGGTTCTCCATGTTTGGATGCCATTAATTGTCCAACAATAGTCACATTCAAAGCTTCACCTGGTTGACCTTTTTCACCTTTAGGACCTTTACTACCGACGTCGCCTGGAAAGTGAGAAAGGAAGGATGCTAGTTCATGAATAGTTTAATTTGGGAGATACAATTGTCTAACGGTAAAGCATTGATCTTAACCGTGTTTGCTTCGAAGATATATCGTGGGTTCGAATCCTATGCCCACTACCTCACACAGGGCAGAATAAATTAAGAATGTTGAGGATGTGTGAGTGTTTTTTTTACCCTGTCTGGGTTCGCAGGTTCAAATTCTGTGGGGATATTTATGTGCAAGAGGATTGCTGAACTCCCCATCGCTGTAGGGTGGTTCACGTAATCGTTGGTTAGGTACAGCTTCCTCAACAATCAAGTCCATGTCTCTGAAAACAAAATAACTGCGCAACTTATCCTACTAAATTCGACATGGACTTGTGACTGGACGAGAGGCCGTGGTTCGCCATATGAGTAAGCCATCCTAGTGGTTTTCCTCTTCCCCAGGATAAATATGTGAATCCTATCCTAGTAGGCTATGCCGAACTAAAAGGATTTCGGTTTTTGCAACAAAAACTTCTTATGTATCATTACATATCAGTGGTTGCGAACCTCCTGAAGTATCCGCACCAAGATGGCACACTACCTGAACTCAGGTTGTGTACCAGGTTAGGGTTCAGGTTATGCGACATCTTGGTGCGCATACTTCAGAAGCACCGTGATTCCTTTACATGAGGACTTGTTCAGAGCATTATAAAAAATACTATTCTAATGAAAATAAACCCCAGGTCTCAGAAACGAATTTGTAGAATCTAATTTGCTTGGACTAATATATTGATAATGATCGATCCTGTGAAGCTTAATAGTATTCATTTTTTGACATCTGCTATATGTTATAATATTGTCTAATATTTATCTAAGTGATATAAGAATTATACTTGAATTTCGAAGTTATTACAGTGAGATAAACTGACCTCTTCCCCCCACATCACCAGGGATTCCTTCTCGTCCAGTGTCTCCTTTCGGTCCTTCTGGTCCGTATGATCCTTTTTGTCCCATTTTTCCAGGAGGTCCAGGCAGTCCTGCCATGATTTAATACGTAATGTGTTAAAGAACAAGAAAAACTTATTTCAAAAAACTAGGACAAAATATACAAAATAACAAAATAAATACAATAGGATTGATTGCTTATATAGAGCCTGGTTGGAAGTGAAAAGTATATAAAAATGTCATTACAAAATATATAAATAACATCCATAGATAATGATTAACGGGTACTCCCGAAGTATGTGAACCAAGACGGCGTACACGGGAATGTAGTTTGTGCACCATGTTAGGGTTAGGCCATAATTTCATTCCAATTTTCCTTATTTTGGTTTTATTAGAAGTCCAGGAACTAGCCAAGTGACTCCCATAGTATTTGTACCTAAAATTATGGCCTAACCCTAACCTGATACACATGCTATGTTCTGGTATCTGCCATCTTTGTTCACATACTTCGAGAGCACCTATTAATGAGCATAAACTCACTCGTGCACTTGTCACTTAGGTATATTGAATTTTCATAAAAAAAATTTCAAGTAAGCCTTACTGAGTGTTTCCTCTTATTTTGGTGAGCAAACTTTTTATAAATAAAATATTATCAGTGGATAACTGTAATGCCCGCTCTTGCCCTTGATTTTGATAACATTCTATGAAGTAAACTACATTTAGTATATTTATTTCTTCTCATGGTTCAGTAAACTTTTTTAATAAAAATACTACAACTGCGATTCTCACAGAAAAGTGTTATAGCGGACAATGAAATAAAGAATATGCTCAAATTGGCAGTTTCTCTTTGTGTTTATTGGTTTTGTTTTATTTTACTCATTTTAAATCTTGGTGTCGCAGACTTATGATGACCGTTTCTGGCCTTTTGCAACTTCCTGTCAATTGCAATGAAATTCGTTACTGTGATGCATAAAAAATTTTTGTTGTGAATTTTGAGTTGTGATTTCTTGCACGACACAATAAATGTTTGTCTGTTGTCAAAATGAATTTCCTTATCCGCTCTGTGAGTGAGTACTTACCAACAGAGCCAATTACTCCCATCATTCCATTGGGACCTGGGAATCCTTCAAACCCTGGTCTTCCTGGTTCTCCAGCTTGTCCTGGGGGGCCTGTGAAACCTTTTTCACCTGGTAAAAGAATGAAAATAGAGTAAGAATCAAGATCTTAGCAATTAGCAATTTGTGGCATTTCACATGCTTGTTATTGACTATATGAATTATTCTCTATAGTAGGGCTGTGCAACCTTTAATACAGGCAGGCTAAATACAAATAACTGCGTGGAATCGCGTGCCGCAACTTTATTTGCCGTAGGTTTTCTAGTAGTTGCAAGCACAAAACTGAGTTTGGGCATTGATCTTATGACATGCGTTGCTCGCTTTGCCCAAGCTAGCTGTTAGGACATTGTCATAGGCATAGATAATAAATTCAGGTATGGACTTGACGCAAAAGATTCGGAATTACTCACATATTAAACTCGATTAAACTAAACACTATTCAAAATTGGCATTTCTCCGCGGTCTGCACATTTCTTCCTTGTGGGCCGCATTTGGCCCGCGGGCCGCAGGTTGCACACCCCTGCTATATAGGATGTTTTGCTATCCTATTATCTATAATCGTTCTATGTAGAAATCAATCTTAATTTCTAATTGGGAATTATAATTAGTCAAACTGGACTTCTGTTAAGAAGAATCGTCTTGTCATTACAGCGCTGCTTTTTATTGTTTTCAAGGTATTGACAGTGAGGAGAAATAATTATGTGCAAATGGATTAATTAATAGACTTCTCCCCATAGCGAGTGTGGTCCATGTAATCAATGACTGATCACATTTTTTTCATAATTCCACCATGAAATAAAATATATACTCGAGTCTTAGCAGAATGTTACATTATTTTTATATTATTCCAAGTGCTTAATTTTGGTTTATCTTATCATTTAGAAATTTTGCAATAAATTTGTTCAAGAATGTGGAGGAAAATTTTTTTTGGTTGCAAAACATAAAAAAAATATACATATCCGATTTCTATACTTATATATGTTTAAGTAGTTAATAAAGCTAACCATATTTTCCAGGCAGTCCAGGGAATCCTTTCATTCCTTTAAATTTACCAGTGGCAGGAGGGCCGGCCCCACCAATCTCTCCTTTTGGACCTGTTACCCCAATTAATCCAGGAGGGCCACGTGGGCCAGTAGGCCCTCTGTCTCCAGGTCGGCCTTCAAAAGCAGATTCTCCTTTTTGTCCTGGAGTAAAACAGGTATATAAAAGTGAAATGACAGTAACAGCAAACAGTAAACGAGTTCAATTTGATAAAGTATGTCCATAAATAAGAGGAAATTAGATAGAGTCCTAACATTTGCCTGTCAAACAGTGTAGCCGAGCGTCGAGTTGAACTCATCAAGGAGTACTCTCAAAGTATGTAAACGAAGATGGCGGAAACCGGAACGTAGTATGTGAATCAGGTTAAGGCAAAATTTTTATTTTCGGAATTCCCCGAACTTGCCAGTGAGACATCAGTGATTGACTAGACCTCATCCTCAAGACCCAGATGACTTATGACTGCACTCAACTCGCGATCTGGGGTTCGGGGCTTTTCACTACTGATCACAGATGTTAAAAGCGTTATTTAAAATGATCTTCATACAAAAAGGCAAAACATGGCATGATGGTAAAATATTATGAAAGATATTAGGTTGACAATATATTATTCTAAGAGAGCGTATTCACAATGAGGTGACAAGCTATCACGAAATTGCGTAACTCACATCAAAACACTTATTGGCAAGAAACTACGGAGCACCAGAAGTATGTGCACCAAGATGGCGCACATCCTGAACATAGTATGTGTATCAGGTTAGGGTTCAGGTTGTGCGCCATTTTAGTGCACATACTTCTGGAGCGCCGAAACTACTAACAAACAAGTGTAGTCAGCAATAGATAAAAATGTTCTACCATTTTGAATCACAAATTTTCAGTTTTAAATATACCTGGCGGTCCTAGTCTTCCAGCTGGTCCTATTAAGCCGGGCTCTCCATCCGGTCCTGGCTTGCCATCTGCACCCATTTTGCCTGGCTCTCCTGGTGTACCAGGTTCACCAACAGGGCCTTTCCCTCCACCTTTACCGGGATTACCCTTTGGACCTTCTCCTCCTGTCCTTCCTCGAATATCTTTTAAAAAATTGCATTTCATTTATGATTATAATAAGATTCTAGTTTGGCGAATATGCAAATAACTATTATGAAGCAAGATGCAAACATTTTAGCTTTTTAGTGTAATCAAAAGTTTAATGTGGCTCACTTCATAATTCAAAATAAATACTCATTAAATACAAAACGTTTACACTAAAACAAATTTGATCTTCCTGAACAAACCTTATGCAAAATTCTTATATGCCCTACCAGGTATTATATCATTTGTTAAAAATTCACAAAAAAAAGTTTTCCATCCTTTATTATTTTATTCCATACCTGAAACACCACGTTCTCCCTTTACTCCTTTCTCTCCCGGAGGGCCAGGGACCCCATAATCACCATCATACCCATCTCGACCAGGTGGTCCTGGACCACCCTTGTCACCAGTTTCCCCAGGGAAGCCTTTAAAATATATATAAAGTGTTAATAATTGGTCAAATAAAATTAAAGACTCAACTTGGAGTTATGATTTAGTATTTAATTCATATCCCTGTATTAAGAGTATAAGTATAGAAATAGTTTCTATTTAACATTTTTTGTCTGTCGAGCTCCGTAATGCTCGACTGCTCAGCTCCTATCTGTATTAGATTACCGAATGACAGTGTAGGACTGTTGAGGCGGCATTATACAGCGTCAAATCAGCGTATCACTATGAAGTCTTAGAAAAAATGACCGAAAATAGTTCTACGTTGTGCTTGTGACAAAATTTAACGCATTAGATAATTTTTCATTCTCAACTGCGTTATATATTTAAATAGCATATAGCTTAAAGTTCAAAATCCACCCTTCGGCTTCATTCTAGCCCTTATACCAGCTGACTTATTAGATTCGGTACAACAACACGACGAAAATTTTCTATAAGACTCCATTGTTTCGTGTTTTCCAAATGTGGCACAAGATGGCGTCCATGAACTTGTTTGACATTAGGCAAGTTGGTTGCCGGCCATTGGTTGGGAGACTGCAATATGGACAATTACCTTTAGGTCCTGGGAGGCCAGGTAGCCCCGGAGGCCCTGGTTCTCCAGATTCACCAACTACTCCTGCCAACCCATCAACACCTGGTCTTCCCATGTCACCCGTGTCTCCTTTTGATCCTGGTAACCCCGGTGGGCCAGGCAGACCCATCAATCCCTTTTCCCCCCTCGGCACCTCTACTTCTAACGCTTCACCAGGTGGGCCTGAAACACAATACAGTGAATAATGGGACCTCTAGAAGCATGTGCACCAAGATAGCGAATAACCTGAACGTAGTATGTGTACCAGGTTAGGGTTCAAGTTGTGCGCCACCTTGGTGCACATACTTCGGGAGCGCCGAATAATGATGTAGCCAGAAAATTGAAATAATTTAGTAAGATGAATGGTGCTCATCGAGTTGATTTTTTTCTAATTATCTCACAGAAAGTAATGTCAATAATATGAAAACTCAGTTATAATCTTTCATCCTGATATCAATTCTAGTTTAAGAAAAGACAACGAGTTTAAAGTTGAAAATGGGCGCGCAAATCTCGGGCACACCAGGTTTGCTTTGACGTATTTATTGTTTTCTTCAAATAACATATATAGTCGAATCTTTGTTATTATTATTAATATCTGTTAGACTATTTTAAGGGTGCCGCTGCTCGATAACCTATATTGGTTTTTCGGGTTTCCCTCGCCCTGAAACGCATTTTTCATATTCATTGTAATTTTTTGTCTATCCAGTGTGTTTCAGCATGGTGAAAAAATAAATTACTGATTACTGGACGACATTCCAGAATGATGGTGCTACACTGTTTTAGAATCTTTCTGTCTTTTAAATAAGTATAGAAATAGGTTGACTTATCAGTATTTCTCAACTTTTGAAAAATGGTGAATCCAATTAATAACATTTTATCAAGTTTAGTAAGAGAAAAATAAGATAAGCTAAAGAATTGGAAATATAAAACAAATTATCAGAAGAATAATAGGAAGAAGAAAGGCGTAAACAAAGTACTTTGTCTAACCAAACCAATTATCAAAAATTGGCGTTCCAGAAGTGTGTGTACCAAATACCGATGTGGAGGTAACTAATTTTGTTTGCCTACTTCACATCAAGTTGTGTAGAAGGACTGAAACCTATGGGCAGGGGTTACATTCCGTTGGTTAATACAAACAGTCCCCGAACTCGTAATAGAACTAAAATAAGGAAAATGGGAATAAAATCATGGCTGAACCTGGTACACACATTACGGGAGTCCCTGAAATTGGCTAACATACCTTGTTTTCCGGGGTATCCAGTTATACCAGGTAAACCTGGACGTCCAGACTCTCCTTTCAAACCTCTGGCTCCAGGTGTTCCTTCAACATCCCGTCCAGGCCGACCAGGGTTTCCTCTTTCGCCATCCGAACCTTGAGGGCCAGGCTTGCCAGGTTTTCCTATGGGTCCTAGTTCTCCCTGAAAGTTTTTTGTTGTTGGAATAATACAGATTTAAATATATAGTATTGCTTATTTATCGTAAAACGTATTTACAGTTATGGCACTGTTTTGTTCCAGATCAGAGGTGGGCAATTACTTTTCTGAGTGGGCCAGTTACAGATAATAGACTTGGTTACCGGTCCGGAGGCTCAAACTATGAATAAAAAATTGTCTATTTAAAAAGGTAGTCAACTAGGATAATAAGAAGCAATACGTAAAAATCGGGGTCATTATGACGTTATTTTCATCGATGTTTTCAACGGAAAAAGATATATCTAAAAACTAAAGTTGTCATTTTAGCAGACACAATTGGGCCGAATGAAACACTTCGGTGGGCCGTATTCGTCCCAAAAAGCGAAATTTGCTCACCCTTTCTGCAAAGACAATGTCCTGCGGGGAGACCAAGGATAAAATTTTCATGTTGTGACAAACATTTTGTTTAGCACATGATGCTAAATAGCATTGATGAAGCACTATGATTGGATAATAACTCAAAGACAGGCAAATTTGCCATTTAGAAAATAAAAATTCGAGACTTGGAATGTGAATCAGGGAAACATAACTGTATAATAGAAATCAGATTGACTTTGACATCCGCTTTGTTGTACTTGACATGAAAAGTAAATTCGTTCATTTGTTTATTTCAAAACTTTTGCTATTTTGTTCTATTAAATACCTTTTCTCCTCTAGCTCCAGGACCACCAATTCCACCAGCTCGTCCAGGTAGACCATCCAGTCCTGGGGGACCCTGTCCCCCTGGAACACCTTGCTCCCCTTTCTGTGCTTTGAATATGTCACCAGTTGCAGGCTCACCTTTTCTTCCAGGAGGTCCAGGAATGCCCGAAAAACCTCGAGGTCCCTAAAACAGTAATACAGACAATTTAATTCAACAAGAAATGTGTTATTGCGGTCAGTAGTAGTGGAATTTCATCCTAAATTATACAGTTATACTAATCTTTATTTGTGCTTTTTTACTGCTGTTCAAGTGCAGTAGAAAAATAACACAAACTGAACTGCCGTCATTGATATCATATCACTATTATTATTTGAATAGTCTCCAAATATATTTCCCCCAGGATATAAAAAATACTATTATTTGTGAGGTTAAGAGAAAATATAAATATAACATTGTTCCATGCAAGTATGCAATTCGTATTTGAAATACATATAATATTCTTACTAGGTCTCCAGGAGTTCCCATTGCACCATTTTCACCGGGTGGTCCTCTTTCCCCTTCTCTTCCTGGTATACCAGGAAGGCCATTGCGACCTGGGTATCCAGGAGGTCCTCTTGAACCGGGGTCTCCTCGTTCACCCACGGCATCTGCGCAGTCACATTCTCCTCCATGATCACCTTTCATGCCCATCAATCCCGTAGGTCCCATTTCACCTGGCAAGATAATGGTATTTTCAAATATTTACCAGAGTCACAAAAATGTCTTCACTTGTCTCACTTGTTCAACTTATTCCACTGCTCTGAGTCAGGAGAATTTATTGATACCATATATTGTTTTGTCCCTCACAGATGTATTAAATGAAGTAAAATACTTAAACAATCTATGAACAACAAACCTGGTTGGGATATACTGAGAACTGACCTATGGACACCATGTATAGTGCGGGACAAATGGATTAGGTAATCGTATGAAATGGGCTTCATGCTGTGTTCTTTAATATTATACTTTGGAAAAATGTTTACAATTGGGACAAGAGTGAAACCAGCAGAACACGTGGAGGACAAGTGAGACATAACAATTGTGAAACATCCTGCTGTAATGGGTTATTGAGTAAAGATAGACGATTATGTAATAGTATTTTAAACCCAGCAATACCTAAATTGAATCAACATATATAAGTTTTGAGGCAGTTAAATTATTGGAACCCAATTACACCCGAAGTATTGACCACACAGTTTTTTTGTTACCAGGGTGTGTGAGAATAAATCAATTGATTTTTCAGTCAATCTTGAAAGAAATATATTTCCAATCAATCAGATCAGTTTTACTTCATTATTTCTTCCTAACAACAAAAGTATGCAAGTCAGCGGATGACAGTTCATCAGGAAGAATAGTTTCTACATGTTCAGCTGCACAAATAAATCAACCTTGAATTACCTTTCAACCCCTTTGCACCCTTTGCTCCAACATCTCCCGTAGGCCCAGTTTCACCAACTATATTTTCACCGTCATAAATGAGCTTTCCTGATTCACCAGGACGACCTCTAGGTCCTTGAAGACCACGTAAACCAGGAAGACCGTCCATTCCATCTTTGCCACTTTCGCCTTTGACTGATCGCCCTGGAGCGCCAACATCTCCTCGAGAACCCTTGTCACCAGGCAAACCAGCGGGCCCAGGCACACCGTCAAGTCCATCAAGTCCTGGTATGAAGTTGAGACAACATTAATACATGAAAAACTCATAGCAGATAAGTTTGCAGTTCGATTTTTAGTAAACTCAGATTATTCGAATTCTTAACAATACTTCATTTATGTTGGTTAAAATTTGATCAAGGCGAAATTATGTGAAAGATAAAAACACTACAAATAACACAACGAGTCGAAATATTGTGAAATCACGTGATTTTCACATGCTCAAGGAGGCGCTCCCGAAGTATGTGCACCAATATGGCGCACAACCCATACCTAAACCTGGTACAACTACTATGTTCAGGTTGTGCACCATCTTAGTGCACATAATTCTGGAGGTCCTTCAAGGACTACTCGTTCATTGGTCTTATCGGGTTTTCTATCCGCCATGATAAATATGTAAATTCTATTATGTTAGATCCGCCATGGGCAATCTACGGCCCGCGGTCCTAATCCGGCCCGATGCGTAATTCAATTTGGCCCGCCTGATGCTGCCACATTCAAACTTCGACCAAATTCCGATGTTTTAGCTAAAAAAAATAGCTCAAAGAATTTGTTGAGATTGCGTTCAAATTTAGTTTTGGAACCCCTGAAATTAGATTTTTAGTGATAACTTACCTTTGAGTCCAGTTCTTCCTTTCTCCCCCTGCACACTGTCACCCGGTGACCCTGCTGGTCCACGGTTTCCTCGTTCGCCTTTTTCCCCATGCAAACCAGATTGGCCATCAAGTCCGGGAATGCCTGTTTCTCCCCTGATTCCTCTTTCTCCTTCGGGACCTGGGAAACCAGGAGGCCCTGATGGGCCATCTAGACCCTGTAATATAAAGAAATCGAATGCCTAAGCTTGTAGCCATGTTTAACATAATTTATGAACAGGTATCGTAAGATCATAATCTTCTTCCAACATCAAGTCCACGCATCTAGAATAAATAACTGATAAACTACCCCCATGCGCCACGTTGACTGGTAACCGCACGAGAGGCCCTAGTTTGCCATATGATAAAGCCGTCTTATCGACTTTCTTTCGACTGGGATAAATATGAAGATCCGCTTGATATTGCACCATAATGATCAGTAAGATAAATACATTTCAAACACCTAACATTGGGAGGTAGGCTTCAGTTGCGTGAACTTTGATAAAGTCCGATATGCTTATCGAACAATTTTATATTATTGGTTATGAAGTCACCTAATTAATATAGTCTTAACATCTGTTTATCATTAATCGATATTCATTTCGAATTGGCAGAACGGCGTGGTTATATTGCTTCGATATACATTGTGCGCATTTCGCTAAATTAAAAATTGCGTGTGCATGTGCCCATTGCTATATCATGCGATTGCTGGATAGGTCGCTGTCGCAGGGAAGTTAATATAGATACTGGTTTGAGACGATCCCTATCCGTATTCATTAAATGATTGGCATGGATTGTCACGATGGCAAATTCTATTCCGCTTCTGCTTTTAATCAATGGTATTTCTTGTTTTATTTGATAAAACATATGGCTTGAGTTGTGACAGATACAATCTGCGATTCGAGACCGCTGTAAGAGTAAATTGGTAAATTGTTGTGAATTTTATGTTAGTTGTTTTATCTTGGCGTTAGTCAATAAACATACGACTCTGCACAGGCATAGAACCTACATCAAGTCCGCGGAATCCAGGAATTCCTTCAGATCCCGGTACCCCTCTTTCGCCTTTTAGACCTTGTGCACCATCAGTTCCTGGTCTTCCATCGTCCCCAGGTTCTCCCTGTAAAGATGAATAGTTAGTGGTAAAGTCGGATTAAAAAGAAGAGAGCGAGAATATGTTCGTTTGTTATATCAGAAAACAATACAAATTTATATATATACATAAAAGAAATATATATTCAAGTTTTCGGTAAATGACTGGATGGAAACGATACGACCGTTAAGGTCATCAAAGTAAGTTATCACCAAAAGAAAAATGCACATATATATATAAATAGTTGAACAGGTTTAATATTTTACCTTTCGTCATATATCCATATAAGATTATAATAGACAAGGGTAAGTAAGTAAAGTCGTAATTACGCGAGTAAAACAACCTAGCCAAAAATTCGAGTCGCATTTGTGAATTCCGTAATTTTAGAATTTAGTGATAGTCAAATCGGGCATTTAACAACTAAAACCTCAGCATTAGAACAAAGTGACTGAACTAAGGATGTTTATATTTTGAAATCCACAAACAACGATGTTTGCTGTCGGTATTATTACTCGAAGATGCACGTCGAACCGACTGTCTGAGGTAGTTACTTGCGAAATAAAATACGCCCTCCATTATGACATTGCACGGTTATAAATTGGTTAGCGGTTATAATCGAATATTATTTAATATTTTACCTTTCTTCCATTGAAGCCATTCACTCCGGGCACGCCAGAAGGTCCACGAGGCCCTGCGGGCCCCCGAACACCTTTCTCTCCTGTTTCACCCTGCATGCCATCGAAGCCCTGATATATAATACAGTGACATTAAAATTAAGCCTTACGATGATACTAAATAATTTAGTTCACTGAATTATGAAAGCAAAATAAAAACGGAGAGCAATTGTCAAATGTGTACAATCGAAGGATGTATCGGTAACATGAGTATGCAAACATTACTAGAAGACATCACAATCTATAAATAATGAAGGGTTTCGTTTTTTAATGAGAAATTCCTATTTTGCTTTCAACAACAACAAACTATTTAGCGAAACAACCCTTAGGTACCATTCGTGTTCAATATCAAAATCGTAATAACTTACCGGTGGTCCAACAAATCCTGGGAATCCAATGTCTCCCTTTTCTCCTTTGTAACCCTGAAAATATGTAACAAATTTATTCCTCAGTATGACTTAATGTTAGACTCACTCCCTCATAGATGACGCTGCCCGATAATTATCACTGGTTTTTAGCGTCTTCCTTCACACTGAAATGCATTTTTCATCTTTCTTAATTATGTTTGTACAATGTGTACTTTCGGCATGTAAAAAAACATTACGACGACTGAGCGAACAATTGGCCGGGGGATATTTATTAAAAAAGTCTTTCACTATATGACGCTGTTGGGTCAAGACAGAGTGACAGACAAATAAATACAACACGAATTTCATTTTGAAATAAAACTGGGGGGCAAGGTGGGCTCCCGAAGGAGCTATCTTTTAAAATAAATAGAAATGTTTGGTAAAGGTTCCTAATTGAACCGCGAGTCAATTTGAGTCAGAGTTACCCAAGTCTCAAGTCGATTCATTCACTGAATTAAGTTTGATTCGAGTCGTTCCGCGTCTTCGATAAATGCGGACTCTGCTCTAACACAAGTGACGTCAAATACTCGGGCATTCCAACATTGACACTATATGACGCTGTTGGGTCAAGACAGACAACTCAACTCGACACAAATTTCATCATGAAATCAACTATGAAGTCATCAGCTATTACTTAAAAATAGTGGCGCTACAGAAGTATGAGTAATTTTCGACTACTTTACATCAAGTTGTGTAGTGGGGCTGAAACCTATGGGCAGGGGGTATATTCACTTGTTTAACACAAACAATAACCGAACTCACAATAGAACTAAAATACGAAAAATCAGAATAAAATCATGGCCCAACCATAACCTGGTACACACACTACGGGAGTACCAAATTGAGAGCAATATTTGGTATAGGTTTCTAATTAAACCAAGAGCCGCCAGTCGATTTGCGTCAGAGTTATCCTGATTTCGAGCTGAGTTCAAATTCGAGTCAATCACTGAATTAAGTCTTAATCGAGTCGTTCCGCGCCTTCGATGAATGCTGAGTCCAGTCTAATTCGAGTGACGTCAAATACTCGGACTTCTCCAACACTGATTATTAGCGCTTCGCTTAAAAAGGCTTGCGCGAATTTCTGGTTTATAAATTTCCCAGTCTTGTTAATTACAATGACCTCCACCTACCTTACTTCCGTTTCTACCAGGAAGTCCTTTGAGAGGTTGTGTGAAGCCAGGTGGATTTCGTTCAAGAAAATCAGGTCGTCCTCCGGCGGTACCAATGGATCCCTGAACGAAGTAATTGATTAAGTTCATGAAATTGGAGTATTTTATAGCACTGAATTAAACTGAAACACGGAACGAGAAATAGCTGCCTCAAGCGTCATCTAAATTTCATTAACTAATAGTTTGAGGTAAAAATTATGAATTCATACTATAACAATCGTCGCTGCTTCTAACGTAAACCAACAAAACAATTACACTTATATATAAAACATTCAATTTCCATAATTAATTGGAAAAAATTTAAGTCAATTCAAGAATATATGCATCTGAAACAAATACCTGGCTAACTAACCCCATACCCGACATGGACTGATAACCAGACGAGACGTTGTGGTTAGCCACATAATCAAGCGCTTTCTTATCCGCATCGCTCTCTCCGAGATAGATCCTAATCCTAGTACAAATATATCCCAATTCTATTGACAGGTTATCAAATCGACTCAGTGCAAGCGCATTTTTCCAAACGTTGGGTGGCTACTCAAATTTTAGTTTTTTATAAACATGGCATTGATACCTTTTCTCCTTTTTCTCCTTGATAACCGATCCCTTCATTCCCTTCGTCTCCCTTTTGTCCTTTTCGACCAGGAGGGCCCTAAAGTTAAAAAAAAATTCTGAACACTCGAACAACAAATATCCAGGGTGTCCATAAAGTCCCTTTACAATTTCAATTTTGTTATGAACTCAGTTCTCAATATAACTTAACCAGTTTTTATTTAATCAGTAATTGCGTAATTGTTCAAGTATGTTTACTTCATTCAACAAATCTGTGAGGGCTAAAACAATATATTTTTTATATATAGAATTCAATTGACGGCTGCATGACAAATGCAAAAATATTAGACTTTATGAAGGGCCAAACAAAAGACCTCCCACAATATAAATTCTTTGTGAATTGATTATTTAATTGAATTCGACATTTTTTGCCCCATTCTGTATAAAAAAGAGATTGTCTATCAGGTGCTACAGAGAAAAGAATAGCTTATAATATCATTTAATTCGTCAAAATCAATGTCAATTAATTTATTAAAATTAAACTATTTATTCCACAGCTTCGCGTATATAAACAAACGACAAGGCTTTCCAAATCGCCATTTTTTATGCATTTCATATTAAATCTTCCACCTCAAAACACTTTGGGGCAAAATTGCATAAAAATCTCCATCAAGCGAATATTCAAATTGTACAATAATTCAGTGAAAGTCAAATAATATCAAATGTTTAATTTTGTTGAACCTTTGATCAGCGCATCAGTAAGTAAGTAAACTAACCCAAAGTGTTACTTACAGGGGGTCCGGGCGGACCGTCGTATCCCATGGGGCCCATTTGTCCAACTGGGCCCTGAATGCCAGGCCTTCCTTCTGGGCCAATAGGGCCGTCTTCTCCCGAGGCTCCTTTGATCATAGAAGCGTCATCGACATATGCAGGTTCACCTTTTTCGCCAGGAGCGCCATCCCGACCCTGTCAAAATCAAATAGTAACCCTTGGAACGATATATCCTTGAATAATAAAGGTAATAAATAGGCTTCCAGTGACAACATCATTCCTCAACCACCATAAATTTTATAAAGCAAATGGTCCATTAGTTAAAGAGGATAGCGATTTTTCATAACAACAAGACTAAGTAAAAAAATTATAATAACAACACTAGCAACAGCATAATACTAAAACGATCTACGGTACATGTCCACTTCGTGGCCAATAAAAGAGCACCCATAGGTGCTTGAATTAACATAATTCAAAGATTTAAAATATCATTGTATTGTAAATCATTCATCAAGGGAATTCACATATTGGTGAGATTTTGAATTTACTTACCACAGGTCCTGGTAGCCCAGGTGGTCCGGCTTCTCCACGAGGACCCAGATCTCCTTCCGTTCCGTTACACCCATCAAGTCCCGGATGTCCTACCGGCCCTTGTTCTCCAGGATGTCCAGGCAATCCGTTGACTCCTGCATATCCCGGTGCACCGGTTTCTCCCTGCGTAAGGAAAATAGAAATCATTTCATCTTTATTTACTGCAGTCTATATTTTTATTGTACTGCAGTCGTTTTCAACCATTTATGGCTCGTGGCCCTAAAGGATTTTAGCACTCATGGCCCTTTGTTTATCATTGGCTTTTATAGTGTTATGGTTGATTGATTTTCAAACAATTTATGCTCAACAAAGTGAAAACACCCTGTGAAATAACCTTATGAATCAATGAAACTAGGAAGAATGGGGGATTTTCTTGTAATGAGAGAAAGTAAAATCAATTTTGAGCCCAGCATTGTCGCCCCCTCCAATTGCTCTGTAGACCTCGGTTGGGAACCGCTGTTGTACTGAATTTACGTTTTTCGCTTACCCTGCTTCCAGACTGTCCCCTCGCTCCAATTCTACCAGGATAACCCTTTTCTCCTTTCGGACCTGACAAACCCTCTGGGCCTGGAAATCCTGGAGGTCCGGTTGTTCCAACATCTCCTTGTCTCCCGGGAAACCCCTGGCGAAAACGAACGTATATTTTCAAATAACTGAAGTATCGAATAAATTAAATAAATCTTCACAATAAAAAAAATTAATATTAATACTGTATCGTATGACTTTATCAAGGAAAAGCAATCAGCTACCCGCTAGTGGAAAGTCCAAAGTAGGTCTAAGATATATTCAATGCTATATTTTTTACAGCAAGCTCTCATATTTTTACTAGGTCAAAAATATTTGTTTTTGCACCGAAAATCATTTTTGCCTGAACCGAATTAAAGTTATAAATCTCTCATTTTATATGGGCTGATTTATAATTCAATATAATTTTTATGAATAAATAAATACAGTATTATCAATTATCGCATCAGATTTAAGATTGCGCTAGCGGAGTGTTTAAACTAAGATATACCGGTATTCAACAACATATATTCTATCGATCTGAGTTTTAATATTTTTCAAGTCAACTAGCATCGTGATTTGTGGATTTAAAAATGCAAACATGTGGCACACATTGCTTGACGTGACGAAATGATATTGAACATTGCAATCCTATAAGATAAATATACGTGATAGAAAAAGTTTTTTTTTAAGTCATATACCGGTATGTATATTTTTGCATAGTCAAACTGTGAATTATTATAATGTAACTCCATCATTCAGCTTCCATCGTTGGAGTGAAACGTCTTTAAACAAAGAATGTTCACACAATCATAAATGGTAAATAGAGCACGCCATCAATCAAGTGTCTTTGAAAAATTTGATCAAAGAGCATCGGAATAAAACACTTTAATCTGGTCGGTCAGAAACAGACAAAACAAACATTTAATACGCCATTTATTGTTAGCTTATTTTCGTTGACTTCCTAATTTTGTCTAGTATTATCGTTTTTATAAAACAACAACTGTGCAAAATAAATCAATTGGCGAGCATTTAACATTTATAGAATGATCATTTTATTGCAACTGCCAATGGTGACGAAAAGAGCCAACCGTTGCCGGGAGCTTTGATTGAATGTAGCCGGCTATAAAACTCGTCTCACAACCTTGATCTTACATCGTCTAGCGCTAATAACGCTAAACAGCTCAAGTTAGTACATTTAGAAATAGTTAAGTAAGAATACTTCTGATATTTACCCTATTTCCCTTCTCCGAAACACAGAAAGAACATGGTCCTAGGTTCCTACAGTCACGTCCAGCACACGGTCCCTTGATGTTCCTTTTGCGTTTTCTCTGTAAAAAGATTTTCGAATTGGAAATATATGCTACCATTATTAGGTTCATCTAAAACGGGAATCTATAATATGCAATATGTGATTATAATTAAGAATAAATACATGCGCATTCAACATGGGGGTGAGTAGCGCAATATTCACAGCACTATCCAGACTAAAAAGTTTGTTTTCATCTGATTTTTGAATGGATTACGAATATGACGTAATAAAGCAAGACCAATAAGCGTGCCCGATCTTGCTAGGACAAAAATTTGCAGCGTGGTTCTGGTTTCAGAGACATTTTATTATGAATATCAGATATTGAGAGTTTGAAATCATGCTGTTGCACATATTTTTCTATAAAAACAGATCAAGCTATGTAACGGTACCTAAGGCATGTGATCGGGACGTAGCGCCTAACGTTAGCATAATTTAGACGGGTTACCGGTAATTTTGTAATGGCAGAATGTGACGGTCAGAACTGTAGATTGGTGTTTTTTTAATAGCGAGCATATCCTTACGTTATTGAAAGTATATTTCAGGAATTAGGGAAAATCGTAATGACCGTAGATGCAGAGATGAGTTTGACTTTCTAAATTACTGAACTGGGTGGCACGCACTGCTGCACGCCCTGACGCCTGTACTAACTGACTACGGTAACATCTGGACATGCAGACATGGGCTGCAACTTTCGAACTTATAATACAGCTATTTAGCTAGAGACCTAGGCTAACAGGCGCTGTAATATATCTATGGTAGGCCTATCTGCCCAAGTACAGAAGTATTAGTTCATTATGACTGAACAAATCCATTACAGAATTAGGAAAATATTTTTTTTATTCAAACAACATTTATCAGGCTTAGAGACTAATTGTGCTCATTTTGAAAAGTGTGAAATTGGCAAACAGCTTTATACAATTTAGCAGTTATTGTTCAGATAGTGTGAAACTTATAAATGTAGAAAGAGAAAAAGGATAAAACATCGTATAAGTGACAAAATAGAGCTATGGAACCACCAAATTCCCCAAAAAAAGATATGGGTTGAAGGTTGAAAAAAAAATTTAGTGGAATTTCTAATATTAACAAATATATCCATTGTTCTGTAGCTAGACAAAGTTATGTTTTGCCACATGCAGACACATGCATAAAACTTGACCCTAGTCGCCAAAGTACCCACTTTGTAATCCCTTTTCTTAGCCATTATACAAACTTTTCGCCCATGGACGATGGTTTGAGATATCATTTTGAATTACATTCGCCTTGAGAGTTGTTAAAAAAATATTCATTTATAAATACATGCAGATTTATAGGACATTTAGCCGCAGTTAGGCGGTCACAGAGTTAGGGTTGCACCGTAGCCCCAATTTATGGTATATTGAATACATATCATAAATAAATAAATAAATATTTGTGAATTTCATATTAATATACTTAAACAACTTCATGGGCGAATATAAAACTAATTCATAACTGAACAGTTCTGTGGTCGGGAGAGTCCATGAGGCGTAAGGTCTGTGAACCTCTTATTCAATGTCTTTTGTCTTTTATTTTTTATCAGTAATCATCCCAATTGTTGGGTTTGTATGTAATTTAATAACCATTTTTAAGCAGTTAATAATTGACTGGTAACTTTGACCATGGCACATCATGGTTTTGGACGCGGTGGCAGAGGATATGGATTCTTGGCTTCACAAAAAGAAGAGGGAAAACCTGGCATCCCAGAAGAGGAGAAAAAAACAGTTGCAACTGATTTTCGAAGTCTATTACTCGGACGTGGCAGGGGAGCACAATTTGCAAGAGGGGCGTCCTTGTTTTCAGGAATCGAAAAACCACCTTTCATGGGAAGAGGTGCGGGCGCATCTATGGGCTTAGCCAAAAGTGTTGAGACTGGACAAGTTGGGATACCAACTCGGGATCCAAATGATAATATTTTACAACCGAGAGTAGAGGAGGCACAATCTGTTCGGCCAAAGATTAAAGATTTGCAAGTACCTGAATTGTCTGGACCCAAACCAATTTCTTTGTCATCTCTGACCAAAGATGTGAAAGATATGGATATAAGTGAAACGACAAAACCACAAATTATAGGTCAAAAATCTATTGAGGATAATAAAACCAGTCTTATAAAAGCGGGAATATCTGGAACTACCACACAAGTTAAATCACCTACAAAAGTGGAAGAATTCCATCAATTACTTGGGTCTAAAACAGGTGGATTGCTGGGTAAACCAGGGTTAACATTTGGGAGAGGATCAGCTTTAATGCTAGGGAGAGGGACAATGCTCCAACCTACAAAGCCTATTTTACCGACCGCCATAAAACCTCAATCTTTGGACACTTCATATGAAACAATACAACCCGTTTCTGCTCCGAGCCAAGTTGTTATTGATTCTGCAGATAAAAGAGGAGCAGTGCTCTCAGTGGGAAATGAGAAGTCTATGGAAATGTTGAAACAAGCACAGGCATTCCCAACATCAGGCAGAGGAGTCACTTTGCGACCTAGAGGCTCAGAACTTCCAGGTACATCTGCAAAAACTGCACAAGAAGGGCACCCTACCTCGCTATCGGAATTTCATCAAAGAAAACCAATGCCAGAAACGATGGCTTCGAAACCGTTACCAAGTGTTTCCCAGTCACCAGAAGACCTCATGGTGGTGAAACGTGATGTCATTGAATATTCTGGTTCCCAAGGAATGAAAGTTCCTATTGGTATCAATTGCGTTCGACTAAAATGCAGAAACGAAGCAGTTTACCAATATCATGTTTCTTTCAATCCTAATATTGACAACAGAAACATGAGATATAGCCTTCTTAACCAGCATCGTGAATTAATTGGCAATACTCGCGCTTTTGATGGATCTATTTTATATCTTCCTATCCAATTACCCAAATCAGAAATGATTGTGGAATCTGAAAGAATCACAGATGGAGAGAAAATTCAACTTAAAATAGCAATTACAAGAGCGGTGCATCCTGCTTCTCATCTTTTGATTCCATTTTACAATGTTGTTCTCCATCGATGTATGAAGATTCTACAAATGTGTCCCGTAGGACGAAATTATTACGATCCAAGCAATGCACAACCAGTGCCAAAATACAAACTCCATTTATGGCCTGGGTATGTGACTGCGATTCGTGAAATGGAAGGTGGTTTGCTGATGAATATCGACACTTCTCATAAAGTTCTACGAAATGAAACAGTTCTTACAGTTATGCAGGATATATATCAAAACAATAGAGGAGATTTCCACGGTCAGTGCATCAAAGAACTTGTTGGATCAACCATTTTAACAAGATATAACAATAATAATTACAGAGTTGATGATATAGATTGGAGTATGAATCCTATGAGCACTTTTACGACTTCAAAAGGTGAAACCATTTCTTTTTACGATTACTACAAGGCACAATACAGGATCGAAATACAGGATAAAAACCAACCAATGTTGATTAATCGACCCAAAAAAGCAACACAGCGTAGCAAGCGAGTTGAGGCTGGAGAAGACAGAGTGATATCATTGGTACCGGAATTGTGCTTTTTGACAGGTTTAAGTGATAAACTTGCTGGTGACTTCACAGCAATGAAAGAGATTGGGAATTTCACCAGACTTGGACCAAATGAGAGAAATTCACAGATTGAAAATTTTTTACAAAGGTTGAATGGATCGCCAGAAGCCAGACAAGAACTTCTTAAATGGGGATTGGAGCTTGAAAATCGTATTGTGTCAGTGGAAGGACGGACACTTCCTCCAGAAAAAGTTCTTGTTGGGAATAATCATGTTTTTCAATGTAATGAAGATGTAGATTTTTTCAGGGATATCTCTCGGGTACCTGTGCTTAGATCCGTTCCAATAAAACATTGGATTATTGTATTCACTGCAAGAGATGCCACAAAATCTAAAGATTTTGTAAGAAAATTTGAAGAAGTTTCAAGAAAAATTGGAATGCAGATTCAACCTCCGAGGTACATTGAGCTTAGAGATGATCGAAGCGACGCTTTCAAGCATGCGATATCGGGTGCAGTGAATCCCAGTCTGCAACTTGTGGTCTGCATTTTTCCGACATCTAGAGATGATCGCTACAGCGCTGTTAAACGTCTATGTTGTGTGGAAATGCCTGTGCCTTCACAAGTAATTCTATCCAAAACACTCCCCCGGGATCCATCAATGGGAAAATTTCGTTCAGTTACCATGAAAATAGCTTTGCAAATCAACTGCAAGTTAGGTGGTGAACTTTGGGCACTGTCTATACCACTAGAGGGACTCATGATTTGTGGAATTGACGTTTTTCATGAAGGAAGAGAGGGAAAAGGAAAATCAGTTGCTGCTTTGGTAGCAAGCATGAATAAATTGATGACGAGATGGTTCTCTCGAGCTGTGATTCAACTTCCACAACAAGAAATTATTGACAGTTTGAAAGCTAGTTTCTGCGACACTTTGACAAAATACTATGAGCTGAATCACAAGTTACCAGAACGAATCGTGATTTACAGAGACGGTGTTGGAGACGGAAGGCTTGGAATGGTGGCAGAACATGAGGTAAAACAACTTCAAGACTCTTTGAGAATGTTTGACAAAATGGCAGGTGGAGAGTATATTCCTAAACTCACTATTATCGTAGTTTCGAAACGGATCAACATACGCTACTTCAAACAAACAGGAAAAAATTTGATCAATCCGCCTCCTGGTACAGTCATTGATCACACAGCTACTCGACCAAACTGGCCAGATTTCTACCTTGTATCACAACATGTGCGACAAGGCACAGTGTCTCCTACTCATTATATCGCGATACACGGCCACACATTTTTGAAGGCAGATCACTTACAGAGGTTGACGTACAAGCTTACACACATGTATTACAACTGGCCCGGGACAGTGAGAGTACCAGCACCTTGCCAATATGCTCATAAATTAGCATATCTCGTTGGAGAAAACATTCGGAAGGAACCAGCGCTAGATTTATGTGACCGATTATTTTATCTGTGAACAAGATACTCTTTGCATCATTAATAGAAGAGATATCAGTTTCGGGAAAAACTTCATACTGATCATTTGTATGCTAAATTAACGTTACATTCCATTCAAATTCTCTTAATAAAGAAAGAAGCCAAATACATGAGTTTAACCTGATGGCACTACATGTCATGAACCATACTTAATTTTTACAATTTCTCTATGTATTTTAAAAGTTCTTGGCTTATTTTGGATTATAAAGTACACATGATTCCCCTGTATAGTATTTACTTTTAAGTGTGCTGTTTTCAAGTAGTTTGCTATTAGCGAGTATAATTTTTGTCATTTTCCACTTCTGTAAAGTGATTTTTTTTTCTATCATCACCCATCCCAGCCCAAATTTCTGATTTTTCGCAATCTTATGCCTCAGAAGATGAAATTTGTATCAAACAATGCTTGTTCAAGACCATATTGGCCTAAAGTCCATGCTTCCGAAAACAAATAACTGGCTAACTAATCCCATGCCCGACATGGACTGGTAACTGGACGGTCGAGAGGTCGTGGTTTTGCATATGAATAATCTGTCATACCATCTTTCCTTTTACCCAAGGATAAATATGTAAATTATAAAACACAAATGTGCTTTATGCACACTTTCTAGATAGTTTTTTTTATGAAGTAGGTAGAAATGAGAGCATATTTTGTTTGATAAATAGTGCTCAAATTTTGAAGTTGCTGTAGTCAATATTTTTGGTGCCTTTACTTTAACACTTTTATTGTAAATAACTGGAATTTCTTTGTTGTTTTGATCAGCATTTTATTTACTTTTATGTTGCAGTATTGTAGGTAGGTAGGTTCTTTAATAGCAAAACTGTTAATATCTGATCTTGAGTTGAAATACTGGTAATACTTTTTTGTTTTGCGCATTCCACCTAAGTTTCACATTAACATTTCTTTCGTTTTTTTTCAATTTCTTTCCATTATTATGTTTTTCACTATTTTAACCATTCCCACTAGGGAAGATTTTGAAAGCTGGTTTTCAAGTAACATGAAGGAAGCTCGTGATTTAGAATTTATAAAACATATCATTTAAAAAAAATTGGGGTCGTCCCGAGGGAGAATTTACTAGCCTGTAAATTATACCAGTCGAGTCAAGTTTATTTTTTCCAACCAGTAAAAAGGAAAAAATGATATTTACATTTTACTGGGAAAGGGAAGCCGCAGGGACCAAAACTGGTTATCGAGCAGTCACACTCAAGTATTGAGTTCTTGTTTTACAAGTTTTTCACAAACTTGTACCAGACAAGACATTTTAAATCGGGGTTGCAACTTTTCTTTACAGTGAGCCAAATTATGATGACGCTGAGGGTTTAAATTTGAATATGATATAGTTCTAACATCTAACTTTTAAGTTTTTTTCATGACAAGGGTGTGTAGGCAAAGGTGCACTGGACTATAGAGAGATTTTTCTCCGCGAACAAAGTCAACATTAACTTAAATTTCAAAAAGGAGTAAAATAGTATAATATTAATTGGTTGATCATTGTTTTCTGGGGGCCAGTGCAAGACCAGTAAACGTCATAGAGGCTTGTGATTTATTAATTTTTGCCCCATTTGTACTCCTAGCCGACACTTGTTCAGGTCTGATGTGTGACCTAAAGAGGCTGTCCTCTGATAATGTTTTTTGATACTGGAAATTGTCCCACAACTAGCCAAAGGTGAATAAATATATAATATTTCAAGTTACATACTGTCATATGGAATAGTAACAGATCACTTCTTGTTCTATCAGTTCATGGAGTGAATGTCCTTACCGTATAGTATTATAGTAAACTTCTGTAACTTGTATGTGTGTACATATGTTTATTTGTCTCATAATATCATAAATGGAATTAATGTTAGTAATTGGCATATTAGGACAGTGAAATAATGTGTATGATATACAGGGTGTTGAAAAGTAACGCAAAATTAACAGAAGTTAGGATAAAATGCTACTTAACACATTTGACGACTGACACCTTTCTTTCAACAGTATTGAATTACGGCGAAATGCCATTTGACCATTTCACGACTGACGCTTTTTAACAGTTACCTTTTAACGTTGCCATGACGAAAAATTTTACTTTAATTTTGCAAAACTTTTTTAACACCCTGTATTCATGAAAAGTTCACTGTTCTGTGAAACTGGTTAGTTTATGTCTCATGGCTCTTAAACCTTGATACTAGTTTTTGTTACTTACACAAATTTCTATTTTGTGTGTTGTATTTAAAAGTAACTTATCTATAGGTATAAGTTTATTTCGTCTCCATAGTCAGCATAAAAGATAAAATAATTAAACTAATAAAAATAAAATAAATAAAACTGATTATAGAATCAGGAGAGCAGACAAAACTCTGAATAATTATCCAGTGTCTGACATGCTATGTAGAAAATACATTTGTGTGAATTACTGGACTTGATTCCCAGAATAGTTAAGCGTTTTATTTTGAATTACTGCAATTTTGTGATATACTGGTACAAATAATGGTATACTAGTCAGTACTACCCTTGGTTGTGGGTCACTACTAATTTTTGTACCATTGGGAGTATTTTTAATTCATTGGGCTTGTTAATGACAACTACGGCATAAGAAAGATATGTTAGATTGGTGAGATTTCCTAAGCTTGAATATCTAGAATGGGAATGCATAAAGCTTTGGAAAAAAATAAACTTGACTATGACTTCGTGACTATTGCTGTAGCTTCTTGTATAATTTTTGATACAGTCCTTTTTTTTAAATATAGTTAAAAAGTTGCAAAGGGAATTTTCAACTTATATAACTTCTTCAAACATTTATAAAAATATGGTCTTTGCCACCTCAAATTTCGATGGAGAATCCATCAAAAAATATCCTAAAAAGTATACTGATGATGGGGTAACTATAAACCTGACATGGACAAATTACGGCAATCCAATCTGGCTCGCCTGATGCAGCCACCACCAAACTAAAACCAAATTCTGATGTTTTTAGAATAGCTCATGAAATTTGTCGAGATCGTGATTAAATTTAGTTTTGGTAGGAGGCCCATTGTTTTTCATTTTTGCAACACTGTAAATATTGTTCATAAAATGTAACTTTTTAAGTCACACTTATATGGACCGCCAGTCACAGTGGGCAAAATTTTTGGCCTCTGGTCCAAAAACCTTGTCCACCTCTGCAATAAACCCTCTATACATGGTCTCTACCTATTACGTTTTGTCATTTCACCCATGAGTGCTTGCTCATATCATGTTACATTAGGTTCCATTACATTTGAACCCACAACAATTGCACCTATGGAAATTTTTGTTTTACGGATATTTGAACCCATACCAACCCTAACCCATGGGTTTTAGCACCCGCATATAGATTGAACCCGCGGATATACACATGGGTTCAAATGTACGGTCATCGTTACATTATCATGGATGTTATATCTGATCATATTTTGTTATTCTTTTTGAGGAAACAGTTCCATTTTTTATTTTCATTCTGCAATTATTAATTGCCTCATCACTATTTCTCTCAAATTTCTTTTTAAAAAAAAAATTCGTTCACAGTGATAAGTCTTTCATCATGTCTTGTTCTATGGCACTATTATGAGTTAATGGGCATTCGAAGATCACAGTTGATCTGTACTGTTTGGTACTAATGGGAGTTACAGATCGCGATCCAGAAAGTGTGATTCAAAAGCAAAGTCGTGTAGTGCGGTTGGCATCGTCTATCTTTGCTTTGTCGTTAGGTTTTGGAGATCCAGCCAAAACAAATAATTATCTTCTAGCACTACTTTGATTACAGTTCAAATAAAAATAGGGGACATGAAATCAACTCGAGTCATTATTATAGCCGTCTATCTAATGATAGATACCGAATAGTTAGCAGATTGATGTTTAGCCAGCTCTGAACTTGCAAGGCCGTGTGTGAAAAGAGCGAATTGGTTGGGATTTGGCGACACCCGCGATTTATGGTAATAAAATTGAATGGAGGTTCTTCTCTTGTCATTGTTGTAAACTGCTTGTCTGGGGAAGTCTATGTCAGTCAGACGAAGCGTCACAGAAATACATTTGTGATAGTGTGCAGCAAGACTGCATAGACTGGTTTGAAAGTTGGCAATATTTTAAAGAAAAATATGTTTTTTCATTTAATCAAGCAATCTTGCTGGGAAGTTAGGCTCGTCCAGTTAATGTTTCCCAGAGCATCGATTACCTTTTTTTACGTTAACAAAGACCGATCAATAACAATCAAACTTTTTGCTGCTGTTTATACACTATTTCAGTAAACAATAATTAGACCCGAAAAAACTGCGGAAGACTAATCTAAAAATTAGCTATCGGTATTGTTAACGAGATGTGGCTAGATATTTTGAATCAAAAAGATCAAACGATTATAATTATAAACATGTGCAGCATCTCCAAGCGTAAAATTGCCAAATCAATAGGCATCAAAGTACTGTGGTAGTGTTTTCTGGGGTCAAGGGTCGGGAAAGCATTCATTAAGACTAAGTTGCCAGGCGATCACGCCCTAGTTTGAAGAAAGAGAAAACGTAGTTCACTCACCGCAGTGGCTTCTTGTATGCAAATGATTCCGATAATTACGATGAATAATCTGAAATAAAACAATGAATGTTTTGAATGCTTTAGTAATTTTTAAACGAGTTTGACTATGCAAAATAATTTACCGAATGATCTGAAAAATATTCCTATTTTTAAAGCAGTCAGTAACGGGATATCCTGAACCAATAAAAGTCAATAAAATAGGCTTTAAAAAGGAAATTGAATAGTATGTAATTGCACTGTCTTTGATTTTGTTAACCGTCAAAAAATGTACAAGTATGTATATTACACATTGGGAATATGCCAATTCTATTTTGCAATGATTTAGATTTTAGAGGATTAAACCTTGTTGCACCCCAACCGAACCAATGTATCTGTCCTACAACTGTCATTGCCTGAATCCCCTTTCTGGACCAGTGATGGATGTAATATTTAGGGGTGGCTTCACTTCTTTAGCAGTTGTGTATGCAAATAGTTGGAAGCGACGGAATTTTGAAACGATAAATATACTGGCCAACAGAATCGATGAATAAATAGGCCAATTTATATTGCAACGTTGTATAATTGTGTCAGTTTAAAATAGTAGCATGTACAAAACAAACGACTGTTGGCCACACAGGCGCAGTAAGATTGCAGCAGAGGAGAACAAAATTGTAATTGAATAAAGCACACGGTGAGCAAATTGTTCGTCGTATGGACTATTCTGTTATGACGCAATATATATGATCCCTGTTTCGGCTATATGATGACACAATAACAAGTCAGACTGCGGCAACCAAACGGCGTGATGGATAACTTAAATTTAAGCCCCTTAATAGTTTGATCGAGGAGCTTAGCCTTTGCAACTAATAAAACATCGGCTCTGCTCCATCAAATAGGCTTCCCTTATAAGCAACTTTAATCGATTCTTCCCGCTTTCTACGCACAATTTATTTGACTGATATGCCGGTAAAATGTTTATACTCCAAGCAAGCTACGCCGGTTACACGAATATGCGACGCTAAGTGTACGATCGAAGAGCGTTCAAGAATCTAAGACGGGGAATGTATCAGAAAAAGTGGACTGTTTGCTTAACATAACTGACTCAAGTAATAAGCAACTCTACCAATAGTCACAGTACGACAAAATCGACTGTGGACAATCTCATTTATGACGTCATAAAAGGTATTGGTAATACAAATTTTTGGTAACAGTCAAAAAAAAGGATGAACATAAGAAGTTCTATGGACCACAGTCTTCATTTCGATAGTCTCTTCCGCATATGAATATTGGGCTTCAGTATAGACGGCAAGTTTTTACACTACGACTCATTTATGCATTTGCCAAATTTTAATCCCATTAGTTATATTACTTCTGTGCTCACTGCACTAAAAATGACATTTGGCCATTGTCACAGTGGGAGATGATAATGAATCGTGTCATCATATCTAATGTAGCTTTCAAGGATTTAAATATTTGAAAAAATGCCTGAGATAATGTCGCGAAATTATGCAACGTAAACGCCTCGGCAATGGTTTGGAAATATTTCACAGTTCGAAATTGACCACATTTGTGAATATTTCTATGATAAGTGTGAAACCTCCCGCACGCTTGTTGGAAAGCTACAAGGAAAACCTCAGTAATGTAAACATATACGACGCTGAAACCATGTTTATAAACATTCTATGATTAAGGAAAATACTGGTTATTATTATACTCTGCCAAGTCACATGGAATAAAGTAATTCATTGAATATTATGGAATCATATACCGTGTTTCCCCGAAAATAGAACAGGGTCTCATTTCAATATTCTTTCGAGAAATAACACTAGGGCTTAATTTCGGGGGATGTTTTTTTTTTTTATTCATTTATCGAAAACTGGTCAATTTTCCAAAGTCACGTCCATCTTATCAATCACCCTTTGACCCGGACCAATTTCCTCAATTACTGTTTCCTCTTTTGAAGTCCCTTCATCGTATTTAATGTCAAATAACAACATGGAAATAGGCTTCACCTTAACTTACTACTTCAACTACGGGTCAATGGTTAAATTTGTTTGTACGAAATTTGGAAATGTCATCATTCGTGAGAGTTCTCAATGATTTGAAACGAGTCGTTCTTGTCAGGCGTTTAAAATGATTTTAAATTGCATACATTTCCAATGCGACAATACCGGTTTGTTGTAAACTCACCGAATATAGATTCGAAAATTGCAGACAATTTTCATTATATCTAAAAATTGATATTTGATAAGCTCATTTGTAAGATTCAAAACTCTATTCAAACTTCTGAGCACACATAATATGCACTAACAAGACGCAGTTTGAAACGTATATCCATCTATACTTCTAACTAGCGATGTGCAATGAAGCGTTACCCAGATAGCGGAAAAATAATTATTGTGTAACAAAGGATAAACGGGAGCCGTAAACTATGGTCGACGTCTTTCACCAAAAGCAAATTCAAAAATTGATTCATCATTTAAACGCCAATGATGTATTGAATAGCGTGAACTAACACAAATTTTGGTTTTTGATCTATTTTTAGATGTAGCCCATTCGATCACAATTTACGCAATTCATATGCAATGCTATGCTATTTGCATGATATGTGCAATTTGGTATTCCCGTAGTTGTGTACCAGGTTATGTTTAGGCCATAATGTTATTCCGATTTACCTTATTGTTTTAGTTCTATCACGAGTTCGGGGACTGTCAGTTTTATCCAAGTGAATATACCTCCTGCCCATAGGTTTCAGTCCATTTACACGACTTGATGTGAAGTGGGCGAACAAAATTAGTGACCTCCATATTGGTACACACACTTCTGGAGCGCCCGGAATTTTACTACTGAATTTGAAGTCGGTAACATTCAGTACATTTTTATTCCCCAGTTGTCGTTTTTGAACACTTACAAAGAGAACATTTTTTAGATAGACCCAATGCAGCACTGAATCGAAAAGGTGCACACTGTTTCCCGCGATAGTAAATTCATGTATACATTCTCGAATTGGAACGTGAACACGAGCTAATAAATGGATAAAAACGCCAAAATCATTGCACGATTCTCTGTACGGTTGATTGTATTTAATAACGTTATAAAATTATAATTCATATTCATAAAAATGATCACAAAAAGGTCTATCGTAAAAAAAGAATTGATAATTTAGGACAATAAATGTAGTGAAAACTCAAAATTTATCGTAGGTTTCCTATGTGAGTTATATTCGTAAAACCGATCCAATTTGATTTATTTATTTGGCGCTCCAGAAGTGATTTCAATTTTAGACATGATTGGAATATTACTAATCCAATATTCTGGTTACATATTACATTTGATAATTAAACATGTACTATTTTGTAGTATTGTAGTATAGTAATGGACTGACGCAGAAAAAATTAGAAAACCAATGCTTTCTTCTGCAAAAAATTATTCAATAAACCAGCACTGACATATATGTAGGCTATATGTTTTGCGGCGCTCCAAAAGTGTGTGTACCACTATGGAGGTAACTAATTTTGTTCGCCTATATTACATCAAATTGTGCAAATGAACTGAAACCTATGAGCAGGGGGGATATTCACTGCTAACACAGACAATCCCCGAATTCGTAATAAGACTAAAATAAGGAAAATCGGAACAAAATTATGGCGTAACCCTAACCTGCATGGTATACATATCGCGGGATGTGATTTAGCAAAACAGGTACTCCCGCGATATGTATATCATGCAGGTTAGGGTTACGCCATAATTTTGTTCCGATTTTCCTTATTTTAGTCCTATTACGAATTCGGGGATTGAACTATTCAAAGGTATTCATCGAATTTACCGTTTTTTAATTCACCCCAAATTTTTGATAAAACTTCTAATAAATTCATATTAAGCTCTGAAAAACCCACAAAAACGTATAGTATCGCTCAACAGCGAATATGTCTGTTTATAAATAAGTGTAAACCATGGATTTTGTCTCAAATATGACACAGCTTTGGCTTAAATAATTTGAGTTAATTATGATAAGAATTACAATTTCATTATCGCTTTATTCACGTGATGTTTTGAATTAGGTAATCATTCAAGTTTATGCTTTGGCACTAAAGATTTCGAAAAAAACTTAGTAACTATACAGTACCAAGCAACTTCTGAAAGTTTCTGATACAGTTGGATTTGTTGGACATGCTCAATATTGTGATTATGCCAATTTCGGTGCTCCCGAAGTATGCGAACCAAGATGGCGGACATCGGAACGTAACATAGGTTAGGGTTAGGCGATAATTTTTTTCCAATTTTTCTTATTTTAGTCCTATTATCAGTTCGAAGACTAGCCAAGAGCCTCCCGTAGTATTTATAGCTAAAATTATGGCCTAACCCTAACCTAGTACACATATTACATTACGATGTCCACCATCTTGGTTCGCATACTTCGGGAGCCCCCCAATTTCTATTCAGCGAACGTTTGTCTGCGCCCACAAAATCTCTTTCTATATATAATTTGTGGATATCCCAATATTTTATTCAATTTGTATTTTTCGCTTAGTTTAGATTAGACCTGATAATTGAAGTGTCTGGACATGTGACAGACAGCCCAATAGCCTCCACGCAGTAGGTCATTCGAAACTCGACTGAGGCTTTACTTGCACCCCTATTCCAACTGCATGTATTTAACATCATGTATTTGTCAACTCGACACTTGACTATTGCGACTTGTGAGCTTTATTACGTCATAAAGAATTAATGCTCAAATGGAAATCACATCAAATTACGAAGCCTGATGATCACATCATGGTTTTCTCTCGCAAAACAGTACAGAAATGTAATTTTTAACTAGCATCAATATATTGAATCTCCAATGAAAACTTGGCTTCTGTTACATTCAAGTTTTTCAGTTTGTATTACTTTACATATTCTGAATCTCATCCTTCTTATTTTCATTGTTATAGCTATTCTTTGCATTAGAATGTTCCATAATAGCAATTAGAATATCGATTCATTCTCGCATAAAATTGGTTACCTATGTAGAGCCTTAATTGTAGAGAAAAAAATTGTTAGGCTGCTACATACTGTATCCTTTCAAACCTAGCAACCACATGTTTTTACATTTTGTCAAAATATATTTTCCTCCATATATGTTCTTCACAAAGACTAATAAGGTATTCAAATGCCAAATATTAAACATGTATTGGGGTGCTGTACTAATGTACACCGATCTTGCTTACTGCTTAAATTTGAATGACATGTTGCAATTGACACTTCAAAACACGTATCCAAATTAACTTCGTTTCAAAATTAAACAAGAAATTACATTACAAACTAATCAAAATATTCTAAAAACGATGCTTCAGAAGTGTTTGTATCAATATGAAGGTAACAAATTTTGTTCGTCTACTTTACATCAAATCGTGTAAAGGGACGGAAACCTACGAGCAGGGGGTATATTCACTTGGCTAACACAAACAGTCCCCGAACTCGTAATAGACCTAAAATCGGAATAAAATTATGGCGTAGCCTGGTACTCACTGCGGGAGTACCGTCAAAACTGTTCAAAATATATGAACATATATACGTTATATTCGTGTTGTGAAATATGACGTTCGTTCACTAGATTATGAATTGTTTTAAGCTATTTCATAGCACGGTATAATTAAAGAAATTTGACTCAACTTTACTTGAACAAAAATTAACATTTTTAAAAATTGGCTCAGAAGTTTGCGCCTTCAAGCATTTGCGTGGCTTAAATTCGACCAGAACTCTACATAGAATTACTTTACAAATTATATCGTTGAACCAACTCGCACATTACTGGATGTACAAATAAAACTAGCTTCAAGAAAAAGATCGAAAATTGATGAAACGTTTAAAATTCATCTCATAATGGTACTTACATTGATTTCCGCATGTTGGCTTCCGGTAAGGCCGTTCCGGGCCAATTTCCGAAGATTTCTTGCTTCTTAAACTTTGTGAAATTTTTCTAATTCATTAGCTTTATATAACTGGTCTATTCAGGAAGTTATTGGCTGTAATTTGCTTCGAGCTTTCCTCTATTGAGCATCGAAGCACAGCGCGCACGTTCGCCGGATCTAGAGCTCCTTGGAACGGCGAGTTGGTGCTATTGGCGCCGACTAAAACTATCGCTAAAAAAGATATTATACAATTATTAGAATATTCCTCGTAAAATCGTACACATTTTCGCCTAAAAAACGTTAAATTTTGGTCTAAAATTCTGGAATTTTGGTGGCTACGACTGAACACATATCTAAGCGACAGAGTTTAACACTTACGCCTATCTAAAATAAATAAAAAAGCACTGAAATTTTCCATTCTTGCTAGCAACCTACGGGATTCGGTATCGAGCGAGCGGATCGTCCGCCGCCGTCTCTTTTTTTCGTCACTTGCCTGCGGCTCGGTTGGAAAAATAATAAATAAACAAAGACTCGGAGATGGCCTATTTCTTTAATTACTTGGAGAACTAACTTGTGCCGAAAGGAAACGGAAAAGAGTGACGGTCGTTCGAATTAAAAAGAGAGAGATAAGAAAGTGAGAGAAAAGTGTGTGAAGAAACGAAAAGAGTGGGATAGAACATAAAGAAACACAATGAGCGTAAATTTGAACGAGCAAGGTGTGGCACGCACAGGATAGGTTAAATTTCACAATTTGGCGAAGTTTAATATAGGCTAAGTAAATTTTAAGCGGCCTACCCTAATGTACATTTCGTCTATTGGTGTATTTGGTTAGAATAACAAACACCCACAAGATTCTTTGTAAAATACTTTTAACAAAACGCGTATAATATTATTCATTTCACAGTATTTGGATTCTAGGCTATCGTATATATACAAATAGTTGATTGATTTGGATGTAAATGATGAAATATTTGGCACGGGATATGAATTTGAAATATTATCTTAAATAATCTACAGAGACTATATTATATATTGGGCCAGAGCAAATTCATTCAATTTGATTTTTTAAGCCTCATTGAACCTCAAAACAATGCCCGATGATTTACTCGAAATCATTTCATAGACAATTTTTCTAGAGTAATATTAAATGATGCTTCGCATTGTATCGTATCTAATTTATGCTAGTATAAAATCAAAATAAAGTTAATGTCAAAATAAACCCGCTGAGGAGTCTAAATTATGTATTTCAGTGCTTGTGAAATATAAAAAGCTTTTGGCATTCTAAAATGCGGTTAAGTTAATATGGGATAAAACATGAAACATTTCAGAAGATTTGAATCAAACCGTCAATTTTAAGCGAATTGCTGGATGGTTTGATAGTTGAAAATTTTCATCAACGAATCTATCGCAATCTAAAGCCTTGGCATATACTAATAAATATCTAGATATACATCAAGTTTTCGAATAAGACTCAGTCATGTGTTTTTGGTTCCGGGTCGGGTTGGTTCCAGAAGAATTCACCTGCTTACAAATCGTGAAACGACGTAAAAAGTATTCTCACAAAACGACTCCTCCCAGTATTATAATTTTATTAATATTCCACAAACGATTTGTGTACTTTGTACCTTACGTTTGCGGCCTAAGCAACCAAACTGAATATATTGTTACAGCATAGTTGAATTCTATCAATATCAATATTTTCTTTGAATATTCGACACTAGTTAAAATACCTAAATAAAAAAATCCGCCTTTTAACTCTCGTATCGATTTTGAGTGCATGTTGATCTATTGTATTTCAGATGACTGATGGCTGGAATCTTCCGTTGCAGCCCCAGATAGTTATAACTTTCCGGGATTAGCTTAATTGATAGATAAGTCTTAATACATTTTTTGCTTTATAATTTTGCGACTGTGACGTTCTACTAACATATGTTTTTGATTACAATATCCTATCCGAATCTGATGAAATATATAGTTTTACGCACAATGTAAGCGGCAAGATTGATGAAATGTGACTCCTTGGACATTTTTTGGTACTCCCGTTGTCCATCTTTCACGCAATAAAAAAACTCATTTGACTTTGCGGTTCTAGAGATATGAGAGCATGAGGTTGACTGCTTTCGATTCAGTTTTTTTAATTACACATCACGGCGCTCCCGCAGTATGTGAACCAAGATGGCGGACACCGGAACGTAGTATGTGTACCAGGTTAGGGTTACGACTTAATTTGGAATATCGAAGAAATCAATTTAGGAAGTTCCATAAATCAATGTTTGTTTTTCGAAATATAAGGCAATTATATTTCGGTCAATATTTTCTTTTCTGCTCTTGACTTTGGTCTGGGCGGACTTGAGACTAATCAAAAACACTTTAGGTGATCGTTATTGTGATAAGTGCGTAAAACGGTTTTGCTGAGAAATACGCTTGACGGGATAAAAGTGTGACAAATAATCCGCTCTTATTTGCACTCGTTGGGTTGAACTTAAGGGCGAGTGTTTTGATTCAGAAATGTTAGAACGTCCGTGTATCTGCCAACTTCGCTGATTGAAGAAAAATGTGTCAAATTTTTTCTGTTTCTCAATATGTTGTTGCATCGTTTTTTTTTTGTGATAGGTGTTAGTGTTGATTAGGCGGTCAAGACAATACTCATCTTCGTTTGTGATGTCGAATGGTTCACTGGTAAAACGCCCAAAAAAGACTGATACATATCAAGTTTGTATACTGCCACGTATTTACCCATGCAACCACGAGGTATTTTTAATCCTCCAGGATGGTTTACATAGGATGGGTTTGTTGCAAACATTTTTAAATTACCACAAAGTACGCAATAGTGTTTAATATATTTATAAAATCAAAACCTAAAAATAAACCTTTATGTTTCTTTCTCGACCACTTGTTTGTAATTAAATTTCCACTGATACTTGCGATATTGTATGAGGATAAGATTATGAAGTTTGCTCAAGAACACGAACAAATATTCCGAATGAATTCAAGCTGATAAGAGTCGAGTGTTGTATAAACAATTCAGTAATTTTTGCCAAGAATTTCTGCACTTTTTCCGTTTCACAATGTGCAGCATTTGAACATCTCTTGAAGTGACGGTAAATATTTGAGGATAGAGTTACCGTGAAATTCAACTTAACTTTACGTTTATTTGTAGCCATATGCAAACGTTTGATAGTAAACTTCAACACACCAATGGGAAATTAGTCTTACAAGTGTTCGTTTGTTGGTTTGCAAATTTATCTTGCGAATGCTGAATGCGGCAATGTTGTGGCGTTTATTGGACACGTGGTCGACCTATGGATCGTTTTGTTATTATGTGCTGATTCTTTGTCACAGAAAAAAATCGCTTTTCTCTTTGATTACTGGACCAATGGCTTTAAAATTTTCAGTGCTCAACGATTAAATTTTTCGCTAGAAGGCTATTACTTTCGTCGTTTTGCAATGGGCTGAGATTGAGGTGCATCTCATGAAGTGGTGGTAATATTTGAGGGTGGAGTCACCTTGAAATTCAACTCTACTTTACGTTTATTTGTAGCCATGTGCAAACGTTTGATGGTAAACTTCAACACATCAATGTGAAATTAATCTTACAAGTGTTCGTTTGTTGGTTTGCAAGTTTATCTTGCGAATGCGGCAATGTGTTGACACGAAACTGAATAAGCGTTTGAATGGCGTTTTGTTATCTTGGATTGCCTTTTCCACTTTATACCCAGAAGCAAGTATATACGGGTTAACCGTCGAAATAAATTAGAATCTGGAACGTTTCAACTTCAAATGAATTCAACTTAAAATCTTAATGAATATTCATTCACATTGCTTCCTGGTTTCATCTGTCCCTGTTTACCGGTCACCTCGGTTTATCTTAATTTGTGGATTGTTTCAATACGCTTGTATTGCCTTTTCGGCGCTCCAGAAGTGTGTGTACCAATATGGAGATAACTAATTTTGTTCGCCTATTTTACATAAAGTTGTGTAAAGAGACTACAATCTACGGACAGGGGGATATTCAATTGGTATATCGGAATAAAATTATGGCCTAACCATAACCCGGTACACATACTACGGGAGTACCGAATTTTCAAGTAATTGTGGCTTAGCATTCCAAACATTTGCATTTCAAAATTATCCTGTAGTAATTATAGATATCAAAAAATGCATTTTTTATCTATACTGAAGAACTTCAGAGAAAATAGTTCAAATTTTTTAAGGTCGAAATTCAGGACAAGAAACCGGAAGTTCATAATTAATCATTATGAGTGAAACTTCGTCCGAATTTGTCGCTCTAATTTTGGTATCTTAAATGCTCATTTCCTGAATGTGATAACTTCGACAAACCATGAAATTGGCAATTAAAAAGGAGGGTGCCGTTGATAAGGGAATTTTAAACTCTAAACTTTCCAAAACTCCAAATAAAAATTCGCTGAAAATTTCCTGGAATACCGAATATCATATGTACTTGCTTTGAAAAAGGCTTAGTATAATCACCTACGGACACGCAAGCAGCGAATATGATCAAAATTTGTCGTTTAACCAACCCTCATAAGCTCATGCATTTGTGATAGTTAATTGATTAATGTACTATTTTTATATCAGATCTGGCAACCGGGTGAGATGTCGTGCAGGGTCCTTTCTTATGAGTAATACATCGTATCGGCTTTCCTCACCCCAAAACAAAGTCTAAAAAGTATCTTTGAAATCTAGGACTTTCTAATTAAAATTTTTCCGAAAAAGAGTTCCAAGCCCGCAGAAGAGTTCAGTTCCTCGGGTCAAGGGGTCACGAATCACAGCATTTTCCATCTACGACGCGTATACCCAGTTAAGGAATATTAATTTAATTCAATTATACTATATAGTGATAATAGTAAGCTCATAATTGGCTCCAAAATCAACCAATCTTGCGGATGATCGAAAGTCTAGACATATTGGATGTGATGGATTTTGCACAACTAGTGTGGGTGGCGGTTATAGTCCCATTCATCTTCTCAGTAATGAGTTGGACATTTCCAACATTTGCTACTTCTACTATATATAGTGCAAAAAATAAGCGAGAATTTCGTTTTGTGATTATTCGATTCGCCTATATAAAATAGTAATTCATTTATATTTATAGCGATATATGCGAATGATTTCTCTTACAAAATACACTTACTAATGCCCGTATGATTTGGTTTCTGCGAGACTAACTACTTATCCTTCTTTTATGCTTTTGTGCCGGCGGATCCGT